GCGGCACGTGTGGTGCAAAGTGACGTCTGCAAAGTCATGATTCAGCTCACATCTGCTGTCATTTGATGCTTAGGCTCAGTTTTAATAGCAGCACCGGCAGACATAAGGCTTCAGCATCCCCCGTTCCCTCCCCTTCCCTCCCCCTCCCAACTCCCCCCCACAAAAAAATCCGCTCCCAAGCCTTGCAGAATTTTGATATGCACATGTGAGCCGTCTCATCGGAGACGTTACAAAGACATTGGAGACGCTACATAGCAATTGAGCCGTTCCATAAACGTTTGAGACATCCCTCCCAACAGAGGCGCCTCGAGATACTCACAGAAGGAAGAAGTGAGAGGGAGGTGTGTGTGTGTGTGTGTGTGTGTGTGTGTGTGTGTGTGTGTGTGTGTGTGTGTGTGTGTGTGTGTGCGCGCGCGCGCGCTAAGGAGGGAGGGAGGGAGGGAGGGAGGGAGGGAGGGAGGGAGGGAGGGAGGGAGGGAGGGCGGTAGGGAGGGAGGGAGGGAGGGAGGGAGGGAGGGAGGGAGGGAGGGAGGGAGGGAGGGAGGGAGGGAGGGAGGGAGGGAGGGAGCGAGGGAGGGAGGGAGTGAGAGAGGGAGGGAGGGAGGGAGGGAGGGAGGGAGGGAGGGAGGGAGGGAGGGATGGAGGAAGGGAGGGAGGGAGGGAGGGAGGGAGGGAGGGAGGGAGAGAGGCCGTTTGAGAGGGGGATGGAGGGAGGGTGAGAACCCGGAAGAAGCTTCCCTCGGGGGCTGCTTCGCCGTAGTACTGGAGCCCACGGTGGAGCTAGCTGAAGACTGACAGTCTGCGAGCCCACGGTGGAGCTCCCCCAGATGGCATAGGTAGTAGCTATGACGGGAGTAGGATGCCCTTAAAGACAAGGCCTTGCTCGATTGAACTCACCTCGTTGTCTTTATACCGCCATGAATCAATGAATCAGTGAATCAAATGCAAAGGACCATTTGAGAGAGACAGTGCATGTCTGTATCTTTACGCCTAAATCAATGCAAGGGCCGTTAGAGAGAGACAAGGTGGAGACGTAGGGAGAGGGGGTCGACGTAGTAGCTGTCACACCCCGGTGCCGCTTGCAGGATCAAAATATGAGTCAACTCAAGAAAAGAAGGGGGTAGACCGATCTCACAGCCGCTTGCAAGGTCAAAATCTGGACTTTTCTGCAATCTTGATATCAAATCTGCATGACTACACTGAGGTGTTTACCCGCTCGCTGATGAGCATGATGTGGACGAGTGACGTCCGCGATTCGGCAACGGATGTTGATGGCGAAACAGCATGGTAGGGTTCCCTGGATCGCTGATAGTACCACCATCATCACGACGGTATGATGCTGGCGGTGGCAAGTGCCGTGATAATGCCGCCTGGTCGTGAGACCTCTCGGATTCACCGTGGTGCTGCTTTTCAGAAATTGCGGCGCATTCGTGCTGATTTGGCGCCACGTGGTAGTCGTGAAGAGAGTTTCGGTTTTCTAGACGAACGCGTGCTGCTGCGGCTTCCAGCGGAACTTCCCGATCATCCGCCCGAATCGCCGGCATTGAAAGATCGCAAGTGTTGCAGGCTGCAATGGCGCCCGGCGCCGGGCCATTGCCACTGGGGTTGTAGTAAACCCCGCCGCCGGCGGCGGCTATTTGAGCAAGCCGTTTCCGTATCCGCATTTCGCGGTATCACTAGATTGAAGCGGCGGCGGTGCGATCAGACAATTACTCCTACTAACGCATGACGGCAGAGGTTTTCAAGTTCCCGTGTTACTACTAACGCATTTGGCACTGCTACTCGACTCGAGAGGGGTTTGCCGCATTCACAGCACTTTTCCCGTTGAACGCATGTTTGCAGTCCTACTAAGTTCTTGCAGTGGGACCAATCACAAAAGAGTCAGTTGCATGAAAGAGTCAGTTGCAGTTTCCTGAATTCTTCTGGCAAACGATTGTCTTCGGATCTGGCCACTGTCGGGATGGGACGGGCACTTCCCCCCACACCAGCGAAACCCTCATCGATCAAGAGGAGCGGCAAGAAGAGAACTCAGGTTCGGGTTTTTTCTCGGTTTGGGTTTGGGACCGGCAGGTTGGGCCACGCCTGGAATGCCAGTTTGCCAGCCAGCTGTGCGCGTCCTCCTGGGTGGCCGGGCATGTAGCGGCCGCGCGACAACAAGCAGATCATCGCCAGCCAAGCGGAGAAATCGAGCGGGCTCCCTCATCGCGCGCGTGACAACAGAGTGGCCCTTGCCCTCCATGCGTGACTTCTGATTGCTGTACAATCCAGCCCAGCCCAGCCCCAACCCCAACCCCAAACCCAAACCCAACATGGTTCCCCAAACCAACAACTGCTACGATTTCGCCTGAGTCCTCGATCCGGCGGGTGGCCGGCCGAAAACGGTTACTTCCGTTATCTTCCGCACGGTGAGGAAATTTCGTCACGAAAAATCGAGCAAGCACCAAAACCTACCGAACGACCTAGGTGTAAAATCAGCACTGAAATGGGTTGTGTCTGTCCTGTCTGGAGGGGGAAGGGAGGCTGCCCTCACTCCTCCCACCCCCCCCCCCCCCCCCCCCCCCCCCCCCCGCTTTTCCTCCTCCCTTCTCCCCCTTTTCTCCCGAACCTCCCTTTTTCCCTCGCCCGCCTGCCTCAGTCGTATCTGCAGCAGCAGCATAAACCAACTCGCCAAGTCTCCGTCATCATTGGTGAATCGTTTTCGTATTTATGAAGATGGGAAGGAGGGTTCTTGCGCACATCCTCGGATGTCCTTTGGTTGGTTGGGTGCACGGCAGAAACTGGCTCATTCCTCGAATTACGAGGTCTGGCTGGAGTTGTTACCGACTTTACGTGTATGGTGCATTTGGGTAGAGGAACGGCTTTTCAGGGTATGAAGGAACGCCTTGAGCGATTCATTGGCCCGATACACATTGCATGAACTGAGTCCGGAACATTCATTCAGTGTGTTTTTCCTGATGGACACAACTCCCTCTAGGAAAGGCTGGTTTTGCAACGTGGGTCGGAATCAAGCTCTAGATTCCGCCCTGCGGTCTTTTGCCCATCTACCAGAGTGGAAATCAAGAAAGTGGTCCGCAAGTGGAAACACAACTGATGAAAATTCACCAGAAATGCCCGTGGTACTGTACAACAAGTTTGTTTGCCAGCTTTCAGGTAGTGCGAATTCCGTTTTGGGTTTTCAGTTGACAAAGCACGGTTTTCGAAACTGCACGCCAAATGCGCAGTTCCATCGCTTCTGGGGCAGGGTTACTGCCCGTTTTTTGATTACAGCGCAGAGTTAGTGCGATTTCTACGCAGTTCGACGCTCATTGGTCTAAATATAAGAAAACGACAAGCCTACTGTGTAAGAGAAAACAGTTAGCCCAGTCAGGTGTTTAACATTTTCAAGCCCATATAGAGAGAGCATCAAACCTAGACACCCTTTCGCATAGTGTTTAGGGTTGATGCCTCCCTCGATGACAGCCATAAAAAGATATAAAACCCGTCGCAAAGGGCATCAACCCTAAACACTTTCGCCCAATGTTTCGGGTTTATGCTCCCTAAACACTTCCGGGTGTTTAGGGTTGATGCTCCCTAAACAGCATGCCATCTGAGAGGGTAATATATTTTTGTCTGCCCAAAAATCAGGTGCAAACGGTTCGATGGCCGTCAATCCAAGCGGAGTTGTCGGTCAGTCTACGTTGTGACCAATGAAAACTTTACTGCGTAGAAATCTCACTACACCTAGCCCGCGCTAACTTTACCGGCGGTATCTTCACCAGCTGGGGGTACTTTTCCGCGGTCAAGCTAGTTTATCAAGGTAGTTTCGGATCCAGAGGGGGTAGACTCGTGCATACCCTCACCAGTTGAAGAAAAGTCGGAACTTGTTAAAAGCCAATTCCTGCCCTTCTCTCAGATCACTAAGTACGAGTGCATTAGACAGAAAGTTTTATGGCTGTGAACTGTTAGTCCCGCAGTCTCTGGGTGACCATCATTAGACGGAAACGCATAAGGGGGGCCTGTAAGAAAAACGTTCAGACGGTGAAGATACCGCGGGCTAGGTGTAACTCTGCGCTGTGATCGAAAACTGGGCAGCAACAGTGCGCCAGAAGCGACAATGCTGCACTTTTGGCGTATAGTTTCAGTAACAATGCGGGATCAACTAAAAACCCTTCCGTTTTTTGCCGCCTCCACTCCTTAGCGAGTCTTTCATAGCACAGCTTACACTGCGCAGCATCTGTTCATTCTTACAGCCACAGACTAGAAGCCACGTCGACGGGTTCAAACCAGAACTGCTGACAAGGCGCCAATCTCGAAGACATTTTTGCTCCATTATGTTACTGTAAATTGACATGATAATCAGGATCCGGGACACCAGCAGAAACACATTTTCCCATCTGGGCAGCAAGATTTCAAGTAATCCTCCTCTTGCAGCAATCCTCCCCCCGCCATCCCGCCCCAGCGAAGATGCGACAGTTGCCTCGGTCACTTTTCTTACGGTTAGAATTCCGCATCCACAGGATGGATGGCATGCCTTGCCAACAAGCATTCACGTCACGCCACGCCAAACCCTATCCCTCACACACTACAGTACCTCAACCTGTACACTCAGGTCAGGTTCATTTCCGTTCAGCACAAGCGGTTGCGTACGTTTCTGTGCACTCTAGAGCGGTTACTTGCACCGTCGTTTCGAACCATAGCTCACCAGCCTAAACAGAGAGATTCGTGAACTCTAAGCGAAACTAATGTTGACCCGCTCTAATGTAATCGTAAGTGTACTTAGTTGAGTCAAAAGGTGAAGGTATAAAAATTCCTAAACAATAGTTCATGGCCCATGGCATCTCTTGAATCTAGAAGTGCTTCGGGTTCCTTCCTCAATATTTTGTTCTCGTAGTTGTTTTCTCCTTGCAGAAGAACACCCTGCATGTATTAAAAAAAAAAAAAAAAAAACCCAGTAATCCTCACAATTTTGGCTCTAACATGTTAGCACATAAACCCTGAATCTTCGAGCCAAAGTCTCAGCTCTACGCCCTGAATTCTAGTGTTAGTGCATTCCCTTCCCCTTCCAACCCGCTCATTAGATCAACATCCTTCCACCTTTCTTCCCATATAATATCTCTGGTATTGAAGTCACGCTTCTTCCTGCTCTCCTCCCCCTCCCATTCCTCCTCCCCCTCCCGCGCTTCACGCCCCAGAAGCCTCCTTTCAACCTTGCCTCTTTCCTGTTCCTGCTCCTCACCGTCCTCCTCCCCATCCTCCACCTTCTCCCCCACGTTTAGGTGTTGCCCTTCCTGCTGCAGCTGCTGCCTAGAACCTTCCTCCCTCTGCCCCTCTCTCAAAAACACATCACCACTGGCAGCAGCAGAATTAGGGTCAGAATCAATAGCAGCACCAGACGCAGCAGCAAAGAAATCACTAGTACCAGCAGCACCAGCACCAGCACCAGCACCAGCACCAGCACTGTCAGCAGCCGCAGCAGCAGTTAAAGCAGGTGTGGTTGTGGCAGTGGGGAGAGCAAGAGCAGGAGCGGTGGACGATCCATTGAGCTTCTGAATCAGCACGTCCTTGTGATAGCCCTGTGGGGGGGATGGGAGGCAATGTGGGTGCGAGCAGGAGAGCAAGAGCAGGAGGGGTGGATGAGCCGTTGAGCTTCTGAATCAGCACGTCCTTGTGATAGCCCTGTAGCGGGGATGGGAGGGGAGGGGAGGGGAAATGCACAGCACCACAAGGAGCACGTGACTGTGAGAGAGAAACAAGCAGAGAGGGGGAGAGAGCAGGGGGGGCGTTGAGCCTCTGAATCAGCACGTCCTTGTGATAGCCCTGTGGGGGGGGGGGGGGAGGGGAGGGGAGGAGGGGAAGCAATGTGGGGGAGAGCAGAAGGGAAGAGCAGGAGGAGCCATAGCTTCTGAATCAGCACAGCCTTGTGATAGACCTGTAAGGGGGAGGAGGGGGGAGGGGGGAAGGGACGCACAGCACCACAGAAAACTCGTGACTGTGAGTGAGAACGTCAAGCACAATGTGCAGCGGAGAGCAGGAGCAGGGGATGATCCGTTCTGTTGGGCCTCTGAATCAGCACCTCCTTGTGAAAGGGGTCATTTTTTAGGCGCCTCAAAAGTCTGAATCAGCACCTCCTTGTGAAAGGGATCATCCGAAAGATTGTTACCCCCCCCCCCAAAAGGGCTTTGCTTTGCTCATCCGAAAGAGGCTTGCTCGCTTGAAAGGGGAGGTTTGCCTGAAGTCTGAACCGAACAACAAAACACTAACCTGTACGACAAAGTTGCGGCGCTCGCAGCCGATAAACATGTTGAGGCGCCAGGCAGGCCTGGGCAACAAAGCACCAACCTGCACCACAAACCACCTTATTGCACCGCAGAGCACCCACCTGCACGACGAAGTTTCGACGCTCGCAGTCGAGGAACATGTTGAGGCGCCACGCGGGCCCGCTGCGACAGATCTTGTCCCTCGTGTACCCAAAGCTTAGCTGGTCGCACTGAAAGCGCCCTATAACACTCACCTGAACCACAGAGCACCAACCTGCACCGCAGAGCACCCACCTGCACAACAAAGTTGCGGCGCTCGCAGTCGAGGAACATGTTGAGCCGCCAGCCTGGCACGCTGCGACAGATCTTGTCCCTCGTGTACCCTCAGCTGGTCGCAGTGAAACCGCCCCAGAACACTCACCTGAACAGCAGAGGACCGACCTACACCGCATAGCACCAATTTGCACCGCAGAGCACCCACCTGCACCACGAAGTTTCGACGCTCGCAGTCGAGAAACATGTTGAGCCGCCAGGCAGGCACGCTGCGGCAGATCTTGTCACGCGTGTACCCAAAGCTGAGCTGGTCGCGGGAGGTGAATCGATCCACCTCGTTGAACCAGAGGCACGCCATGAGGTTGCTGAGCGCCGTGTGCTCGCGCATTATCACACACCCCTCGGGCACGTCTGTGAGGGAAATGTGGACGGCAGGGGAGAAGCAGTCGGAATTTGGGGTTGAGTAGGTTGCTCAGCGCATATAATCACACACCCCTCCGGCACGTCTGGTTGGGAGGTGTGGTAGGGGAGAACACACGGTAAGCCGATAACCTCGTTGCTTCGGTACACCTCCATCTGCTCGTCAACGCTCCAACTCTGAGACGTGTCAGAACACCCACCACCGCAAGCCAAGCAAGCACCCACCGCTGATGATGGGCATCTTGTCTTCTGAAAAAGGCGTCATCCCGTCACTCCGGTAAACCTCCATCTGCTCGTCGATGCTCGCATTGCGATACTTCCCCGCCGCCTTGTTGGCCTCCGCCTCAACGAACACGTCAAACCGCTTGTAGTGCTTCGATATTGCCCACGAGAAGTTGCCGCGCCACAGGAACCTGAAGGTGTGGGAGGGCGTCGGAGAGAGTGTGCAGGGGTGGTGATGGGTGAGGATTGGTGAGGATGGGTGGAAGTGGGTGCATGAGCCTTGGTTGCCTCCGCCTCCACAAACACGTCAAACCGCTTGTAGTGCTTCGAGATGGCCCAGGAGAAGTTGCCCCGCCACAGGAACCTGCAGGCGTGTGGGTGGGTGGAGATGGGTGGGAGTGGGTGGTGGTGGTGACAGGTGCCTTCCGCCTCCACAAACACGTCACACCGCTTGTTGTGCTGCGAAATACCAGACCGCACCATACTGCGCCACAGCGAACCTCTGAAGAACCACGTAGGGGTACTGCACGAGCTGCAGCTCGGCATGCAGCCACGTATCATAGCACAAGGGTACCACATTATAATGCACTAAACTGCACAATAATATAGTCTACCGTACCGCACCGTACCGCACCAAACCATACCTGATTAAATCACACCATACCCCACCATAACGCAACACACCGCACCTCTCAAGGATCATGTAGGGGTCTTGCACGAGTTGCAGCTTGGCGTCCACCCACATGGAGAATTGCACATTGGGGAAGAGGCGGTGAATGAGCAGCTTGGGGATCTGCGGATTAAGAGAGGCCGGAAAGGGGAGAGGAGAGAGAGGATGTTGAGAAGGGAGAGAGGGGGGGAGAAGATGGGAGCTGTGCGAGTGCTGCTTGAAGCACTTCAGAACAAGGTCCCTGGTTGCGAAGAAACGGCTGCAAGAACCCTTTACAACCTATCGTTCTTTGAGAACCTGCAATTTGAGAACCTGAGTCACTGAAAATTGCAGGTGATAGAACGTAAAGGGTCCTTGTAGCCATTTCTTTGCACCCAGGAACCTTGTTCTGAAGTGCTTCAAGCAGCACTCGCACAGCTCCCAACACAAAATTCTAGAAGTAGCATTGCACTCTCATACGTCATATTCCAAGCCCATGGTTGGTTGTTTTTGAGGAGAGACGCTATTGGAGAGATTCTCCAATCACTACATCCCCTTCAACTGCACTTCTGCTCTCTCTGCTCAACTGCTCCCTCACTCTACCACCACCATCACCCCAACTGCAACTCGCCCTCACCTTGCCGGTCCGCCTGGGGTCTCTGTAAGGAGGGTTGTGCACGACCACCAGGCGCCACAAGCCCACTCTCCGCGTGCGCGGCTGCTTGAGAGTGCCGTCTCGAATGAACTCGTTGAAGGTCGTCTCATCCACAAACATCACAAAGCATAGCTGCTGCCTCGCCTCCTCACTGATGTTACTTGGTTGCTGCACCACATCGTATGCGCCTGGTGGTAGGGGAGAGGAAGCACGGGCATGTGGGTGAACGAGCAGGAGGAGGGAAAGCGGGTGGAGGGATGGGATGAACTGGGTGAAGGTGGTCTCGTCCACAAACATCACAAAGCACAGTTGCTGCCTCGCCTCCTCGCTGATGTTATTGGCTGCTGCACCACATCGTATGCACCTGGCGGGGGAGGGGAAGTGCACGGGCACGTGAGAGGGCAAGCGGGCGGGCAAGAAAGGGGTGGAAGGATGAGCTCAGTGAAGGTGGTCTCGACCACAAACATCACAAAGCACAGCTGCTGCCTCGCCTCCTCGGTCACGTTGCTCGGTTGCTGCACCACATCGTATGCACCTGGTGGTAGGGGAGAGGAAGCACGGGCATGTGGGTGGGCAAGTGGGCGGGAAAGAAGGGGGTGGTGGAGGGATGAACTCGGTGAAGGTGGTCTCATCCACAAACATCATGAAGCACAGCTGCTGCCTCGCCTCCTTGCTCGGCTGCTGCACCTTCACTCTCATGCTGTCGCGCCGCTCTTCTCATAGCAATCTCACCAAAGATGGGAGACGACCACGATGTCATAGCACCGCTCCATGAACCGCCTGTCATCACTCACCACGCACAGCACAGCACAGCACAGCACAGCACAGCACAGCACAGCACAGCACAGCACACAGACAGCACCACGCCACTCTCTCACACCACACCCTCACCAAAGATGGCCGAGACGACCACGATGTCATAGCACCGCTCCATGAACCGCCTGTCATCATCCGACACGTCAAAGCCCGTGCCGTTGCCCACCTTGCCGCCCCACACAAAGCTGATGCCAGGGGGGAGGACGGGTGGGGATTGGGGGATACGGGAAGCGGTGGGGGAGAAGGAAGCGGGGAGGCAAAGGGGATGACTGGATGGCTCACACTACACAAAACCGACACGTCAAAGCCCGTACCGTTGCCCACCTTGCCGCCCCACACAAAGCTGTTTAGGAAGGGGGGAAAGGAGTGAGGGTGTGAGGAAAGAGAGTGGTGGCGGGAGGAGAGTAAGCGACGGGGAGGAAGGCGATCATTGTTTGACTCACTGCAAAGCAGTCAGACACGACAAAGCCCATGCCGTCTCCCACCTTGCCGCCCCACACAAAGCTGATAACTGGTTGGTGGAGAGGGGAAAAGAGAGCCAGAAGCGAGGGTGGGTGGAGAGGGGAAAAGAGAGCCAGAAGAAAAGGTGGTGAACGAGGTAGGAAATAGATTGGAGGAGTGGTGATCCCTTAACTGAAGAATCCTTAACTTTCAAATCATGTTGACATGTCTCAACACATGGCTGCAAAGACTGGTGCCCATTCAACCGGTGCCGGTGATTAATTGTTGATTTGACTCATCCTCCCCAATCCCATTCCTCCCTGCCCCTCCCCTTTTCGACTCCCACTCCCCCTCCCCCAACCGCCCCTAAATTTTACTCACCTGCAGTGCACGCGCATGCTCTCTTGGATCCTAAACGACTGGTGCCCGTTGAACCGCGGCCGGTGAGTGTCACTCATTCATCTCCCCTCCCCGCGTCACTCACCCGCAGTGCACGCGCATGCTCTCCTGGATTTTGAACGAGTCCTCCCGCTGCTGCAGCGACTGGTGCCCGTTGAACCGCGGCCAGAAAGTAACTGTTGAGTTGACTCATTCTCCCTACTATTTTCCCTTCTTCCATCCCTCCCTGCCCCTTCTCCCTTCACCCCTTCCTCACCACCACACCCTTGTCTCACTCACCCGCAGTGCACGCGCATGCTCTCTTGGATCTTGAACGAGTCCTCCCGCTGCTGCAGCGACTGGTGCCCGTTGAACCGCGGCCGGTTGCCCGCGCGCCTGGCAGCCCGCTCACTGGCGTCGTCCTCTGTGACATACGCCAGGTGCTTTAATATCGGCTCCTCTGTGTGGCCCCGTGGCGGGCGCATGCCCATGGCGTCTGGTAGCGGCAGGTAGCACACGGGACAGGCTGATTCGGGGGAAGGAGAGGGGGGGGGGAAGGGGGGAGAGGGGGGGGGGGGGGGGGGGGGAGGGGGGAGTGGGGGGGTTGTTTTGGAAAGCATGGGGAAAATAGGCAGATGTATGGACACGGGGGACGCATAGCCATGGCCATTAGCACACGGGGCAGGCTGATTCGGGAAAAACCAGGGGCGTGGGGGGAGAAAAGCAGGGAGGGGGGGAGGCAGGGAGGGAGGAGGCAGGCAGTGCGTGTGGTGTGGATGCGACAGGCCCGTCAGATCATGGCAGGTAACCCAGGGGGCACACTGCTTGGGCGAGGATGAGGAAAGGGGGAGCAGGGGGGAGCGGGAGCAGCGGACGCACGGGACAGGCTAAATGGCGCAGTGGGGAAGAAGAAGGCAATGTGGACGGACGGTGGGGGCTACGACTGGGCCGAGGGGAGTGAGGGGGGTGGAGTGGGAGTTTGTGGGGCTGAGAGCGGTTGAGGGGAATGGCTATGGTGAGAGATGAAGTGACGACAGAACATTGTACAGTCCAAACCCAATGAACTCACGTGTCCGTCTAGTGGTTGGTTACTCTAGGCACTCACGTCTGGCTGGGTCCAGTGGTTACCCTAGACACTCACGCGTGGGTCTAGTGGTTACCCTAGGTTGTTCACGTCTGGGTCCAATTGTTACCCTGGGTACTCACGTCTGGGTCCAATTGTTACCCGGGTACTCACGTCTGGGTCCAATTGTTACCCTGGGTACTCACGTCTGGGTCCAATTGTTACCCCGGGTACTCACGTCTGGGTCCTGTGCGCTTCCTGTCGGTGGAAGGCGGTGGGAGGGTGAAATTGGCGCAGGGATGCGACGGGGGGAGGACAGGATCCAAGGGGTTGATCTGGGCAGGGGGAGGAGGCGGAGAGGGGGGAGGGGGAGGAGCAGGCGCGCGCACTCCCATCCCCCTTCTGCTCTTCTTCGGTCTCTTCTCTCTCTTCGGCTTCTTTTCCTTCCGCTTCTTCTTCTTCCGCTTCTTCTCCCGTAGTTCATACACTCGAGCCTCCGTCTCGATCTCAACCCCCTCCTCCTTCGCTGCATCCTGTCCCCTCAAAGCACCCAGCCTTTCCAAAGCATCCTGCCCCCTCAAAACGTCCTCGCTTCCCGAAGCGCGCTGGCCCCCCACCTCATTCTCCCCCCCCGCACCCTCTCCCCTCAGCTCATCCCTTCGGCTCGCAGCATTCTCCCCTCCCAAAGCATCAGGTGCAACCTTCCCCTCTGCCTCTTGCTCCCCGGCAGGCGGAGAATGGTCGAAACCGTTCTGAACCGAAGCGTGGAACGAGGGCACCTGCTCGTTCTGACTCGCATCCGTCAACACACGTGACTGGTCGCTGGCGGATGGTAATCTCTCAAGACCAGATTCTGGATTCGCCGTCCCAGTCTCTTTAAAGGAATCTTCGCCGTCCGTTTGTGCAGGTGATGGCGAATCCACGATCATCAGAGGGCCGGGGTCATCCAGCACACCGACCCTTTTCGCTGCGTCCACTGTGACACGGCAGAACGAACGGGCGAAAGAACGAATGAGTAACCACGACGGATAAACACGAAGGCTCAGCGCATTTCACCTTATTTTCCAGAAATCTGTAACAACATTGTTTCAAGCAAAGCAACTAGCAGATTAGGACGAACCAAACGGAGCGGAAAACGGAAGCTGGCCGACAGATCAGTCGGTATGCCTTTTGGCCGACGGGAACACTTTTTCAGCCACATTTCCCAATCAGTCCGCGCTAAATAATACCTTTTGGTTGTTGCGACTGGCCGGAAAATCTGAGATCCTTGACGACGAAAATGGTGGAGATGGAGACGGCAGCCAGGAACAGCACCATCATTGCTTTCCTCCTCCCTGGCAGGCTTCGTTTGTCGTTATTCATGGAGGAGGATCTGGTGGGTGCGGGCGACGCGTTCGACGAGGAATGACGCTGCTGCGACTTCTGCGTTTTGTTGAGCGATCGCAGCGCGGTGAAGGAGGAGGATCGGTGTGCGACGATGTGCGACTCCTCCGGCGTTACAGGCGGCGATTCCATGGCCGGTAGGAGCAGTTACACGGGTAAGGTTGAGTTAGGGTGTTCATGAAGCTCGCGCATGGTTAAGTTTCTAGATGCTTGAAGGCTGGATTCTTGAGGTTAGGATGCATATGAAGACATCGTTGGATCAAAGGAGTGATAAGAACGTCACGGAAGCAGTTACAAGAATAACTACGATGGCCACATCGCGGTGGTTGCTTTATGAAGCATCGTAGCCGTTGATGTGATGGGTTGCGGATGCCAGCCTATATCGATGCGGATGGCTGCGTGACTCGTTACAAGCCAGATTCGGACAGCAGTCTGCTGACTTCTAGGGTTTGAAACAAGCTAGTAACAAGAGCAAATAAACCCGTCGATCTAGGAGGTGTTGACCTATCTCACGTCCTGTGAGGATTCTATGATTAGCTTCTCGTCTCTCCCCTCTCCCGACGAGTGTCGCACTTCCTCTGGATCTGAAATTGGAAACTCCAAACGCCTGAGGAAACGTATACAAAGGACGAATTATCTATTCAACAGAGGCACGCAGCCGAACCAAAAATAACGAGAGGTTAGACAGCGAAGACACGACATTCGGACTCTAGGGGAGGAGGATAAAAATAACTATCATACTAGCCAGCCATGGGTCGGGGAAGCACATCCATTCAAGCAGAGGGGAAGATTCAGTTCGCCCAAAATCTTATTCCGCCGATTTAGATAGATAATGAACCGTATTATAAGAAAAGTATTCTCATGCTTCGGACCTGTTCACTGTTTGGGACACTCCCAAGAGAAGTTCACTGTCAAGGAGACCTGACAGGTGCTACAAAAGGAAGTTCTTTTAAAAGAATTAACTAATGAAGAGAGAGGAGAGGGCACAAGAGAAACAGATCATCGGAATTTGATTGGTGGAAGCCGAGCCGAATCCCAGCGAGACGTGAAGGGAGGGGACGCGCACGAAGGGAGCACACGATAAGTGATGTGACGCACGCGTCCAGCGAGTAACCCGGCCACAGTCTGCGAGATAAACGACGGGTGACGACTGCCTGCACGAAACACCTTGTGTGACGTCGCCAATGGCGCCAGGGACGCGGACGATCCAGCGCAATCTGTGGGAACAGTGCGACGGCTCTGATGTCTTCTTGGCTACACAATGCCGCACAGAGTCTTGACGTGAAAGACGGACACCCTATACTCGCTATAAACTGTGTCATAAACTTAACATTTCAGGATATCATAATCATTTCTGCAAAAACAATCAAGAAGAAACCGGCCTCAAACCTATAGGCCTTCCTTCATTATCATACTCTATTGTTACTGGAGCACCATTCGAATCCAGGCTTCTTCTCCCCCCCTGAATAGGACAAACAAAACAGCAACGTTGAAGCATCAAGAAGAGATTTGAGGGTGAATCGAATAGAGTATCTTACATACCTCCAGAATTGCTGTGGTTAAGAGGCATGCTGAACTTCGTATGGTCGCAATCATTTCACTGGACTCCACATCTGCCACTGTCAATTTCTTCGAATTGATGCACTGTGCAGCCGTAACGAAATCAGCTATACTGCGGTAACCGTACCCCAGCTGGCCAGCAAACCTCCCTGTTGCATCCGGAGTGTACTGGGGAGTTTGGAAACACATAAGAAAAAAGGTTATGGTGAATGGGAAAAAGAGAGGTGAGCATGTGCGTGAGGCACTGCAATAACAGTTGTGTGTATATTAGACGAACAAGATAGATGTGAGTGGTTATACCTTCATGTACAGTGGGTTGAGTGTAGCAAAGCCAGCTGCATCAGTTGACATGGTGAATCCTCTATGAGCCTGATCCACCCGCACCTCACCCTGCCACCATGCACACGCACATACATGATACAGAAATGATGCACACATACATACATTGAAAAAACGTGATGCACGTGTGCATACACCACACAAATCAGGGAGGCCCAGTGAGCCGTATGTCGCTCCAAAACAGGTACTCCAAACCAAATGCACATTCTGCCATGCTTGGTGGCCCATGTAGTGAAAGTACTGCTGCGTGTGGCAGTCAGACGGAGGTGCAATATACAATATCCCATGTGCCAATATAGAACCTAGATACACCCATCTGAACCGAATGCTTTTGCCATTCACTCCCGCCATACCTGGTGGCCCATGTAATGGAAATACTGCTGCATGTGGCAGTCAGAAGGAGGGGCGATCCAGCTTGCAGTGTACACTGCAGTGCCGCATGAGCCGCCCTTGTTCTCCCACTGGACCTGCTTGTAGCGAGTACAGAAATAGTGCACGAGCCAGAGGTCAGCGCAAAAGCGACTCACATTGTGCGGTGCTGAAGCAAGCTACACGCACCGATGTGGTGCGAGTTGAGGCAGAATGAGATTTCTGAGCTCCTGTTAAGTCTGTGTTGGTTTTAAGAATTCTCAAAAGCGACTCGGGTTGTGAGGTGTGCAAGCAAGCTGCACCCACCTATGTGGTGCGAGTTGAGGTAAAATGAGATGTCAGAGCTCCTGCCAGCCCACCCTGCTCAGCATGGGGAGATGGGATGGGGAGATGGGATGGGGGGGATGGGATGGCGAAGCAGGGGAAGGGAAGTGCCAAACAGAGCTCATGCGTGGCGAATAAATGCAGGGCAGATGCAAACGCAAGGAGATCTGTGCTTTCTTAGCAGGGCGTTTGCGCAGCTGCTCCTTCGGCTGGGTCATGGTACTGGAAAAGAAAGCAAACAAGCTCTTCATGACAGGAGTGCACTGTGTGAGCACTAATGACGCACCTGCAAACGTGTGCAGCTGCTCCTTTGGCTGGGTCACGGTACTGGAAAAGAAAGCAAACAAGCTCTTCATGACAGGAGTGCACTGTGTGAGCACTAATGACGCACCTGCAAACGTGTGCAGCTGCTCCTTTGGCTGGGTCATGGTACTGGAAAAGAAAGCAAACAAGCTCTTCATGACAGGAGTGCACTGTGTGAGCACTAATGACGCACCTGCAAACGTGTGCAGCTGCTCCTTTGGCTGGGTCATGGTACTGGAAAAGAAAGCAAACGAGCTCTTCATGACATCGCAACAAAGGATACATTGTCGTAGCGTATCCCATGTGTGCATTGTGTGAGCACGACAACGCACCTGCAAACGTGTGCAGCTGCTTCTTCGGCTGGGTCATGGTGCTGGAGAGAAGGCAAAGGGAGCCTCAATGATGACTCGAAGGTCACATTCGAATAGCTCAGGTGGGCACTGCGTGTGCAAATGCTACTCATATACAAACACAACGCACCTGCAAACGTGTGCAGCTGCTTCTTTGGCTGAGTCATGGTGCTGGCGAAGAAGGCAAAGGGCCCTTCTATGGTGACTCAAAGGGCACATTCGCATCGCTCAGGTGGGCACTGCGTGTGCAAATGCTACTCATATAAAAACACAACGCACCTGCAAATGTGTGCAGCTGCTTCTTGGGCTGGGTCATGGTGCTGGAGAAAAAGGCAAAGGGCCCTTCTATGGTGACTCAGACGACACCATGCTGCAGCCCATGTGTCACTGTGTGAGCATGAATGACTCACCTGCAAACGTGTGCAGCTGCTGCTTCGGCTGGGTCATGGTGCTGGCGAAGAAGGCAAAGGGACCCAGCCCCCTGATGCGATCCCGTGCATCTGAGACAGGGGAACATGGAAACAAGATGATTTTTTTAGTCGACTCAAGAGATGGCTTTGGAGTCAAATCAAGAAAAGAGACGAAGTGGAACCAGGCCCTGGATGCGGACACCTGAAACTGGGTGACACAAAACATCATGCTGAAAATAGGATAAAGCAGCAATAACATCATCTCAATAATGATGAAATTACAGAACAGAACAGAAATGCGTCTACCAGCATATATGGCGCAGAATCCCATTGACTTGTGCGGCACCCCAAAAGCCGTGTGCCAGTGCATATGGGATACCCGTATGTGACAGGGTTGACCATTTTGGAAATACACATTGCGAGGATGCAGTTATTGAACAGCAATGCGTGTACCTGTGTAGATGGGGTCGAATCGCTTGTGAAACTCAACTGCCACAAGCACACCCTTTTCTCTGCACCGGGAGACAAGGAAACGGAAGGGAGGTGACGGAGAGGGAGAGGAACAGGCTACAGCCGATGGGCCATGGTGCGCGCGTGGACCAAGGCATGAAGCTCACCGGTGCAGCATGAATCTCAACCGAAATCAGGTGGTGCACGAGAGGACATGAGGATGCTCCATGATGAGCACCGGTGAGACTAGGCGCGCGCATGGACCAAGGCGCGCGCGTGGAGCAAGGCGCGCGCGTGGAGCAAGGAGCGCCCCCGGACCAAGGCGCGCCCCCGGACCAAGGCGCGCCCCCGGACCAAGGCGCGCCCCCGGACCAAGGCGCGCGCCCGGACCAAGGCGCGCCCCCGGACCAAGGCGCGCCCCCGGACCAAGGCGCGCCCCCGGACCAAGGCGCGCCCCCGGACCAAGGCGCGCCCCCGGACCAAGGAGCGCCCCCGGAACAAGGCGCGCCCCCGGACCAAGGCGCGCCCCCGGACCAAGGTGCTCCCCCGGACCAAGGCGCGCCCCCGGACCAAGGCGCGCCCCCGGACCAAGGCGCGCCCCCGGACCAAGGCGCGCCCCCGGACCAAGGCGCGCCCGCGGACCAAGGCGCGCCCGCGGACCAAGGCGCGCCCCCGGACCAAGGCGCGCCCCCGGACCAAGGCGCGCCCCCGGACCAACGCAGTCCCCCGGACCAAGGCGCGCCCGCGGACCAAGGCGCGCCCGCGGACCAAGGCGCGCCCCCGGACCAAGGCGCGCCCCCGGACCAAGGCGCGCCCCCGGACCAAGGCGCGCCCCCGGACCAAGGCGCGCCCCCGGACCAAGGCGCGCCTGCGGACCAAGGCGCGCCCCCGGACCAAGGCGCGCCCCCGGACCAAGGCGCGCCCCCGGACCAACGCAGTCCCCCGGACCAAGGCGCGCCCGCGGACCAAGGCGCGCCCGCGGACCAAGGCCCGCCCCCGGACCAAGGCGCGCCCCCGGACCAAGGCGCGCCCCCGGACCAAGGCGCGCCCCCGGACCAAGGCGCGCCCCCGGACCAAAGCGCGCCCCCGGACCAAGGCGCGCCCCCGGACCAAGGAGCGCTCCCGGACCAAGGCGCGCCCCTGGACCAAGGCGCGCCCCCGGACCAAGGCGCGCCCCCGGACCAAGGCGCGCCCCCGGACCAACGCGCGCCCCCGGACCAACGCAGTCCCCCGGACCAAGGCGCGCCCCCGGCCCAAGGCGCGCCCCCGGACCAAGGCGCGCCCCCGGACCAAGGCGCGCCCCAGGACCAAGGCGCGCCCCCGGACCAAGGCGCGCCCCCGGACCAAGGCGCGCCCCCGGACCAAGGCGCACCCCCGGACCAAGGCGCGCCCCCGGACCAAGGCGCGCCCCCGGACCAAGGCGCGCCCCCGGACCATGGCGCGCCCCCGGACCAAGGCGCGCCCCCGGACCAAGGCGCGCCCCCGGACCAACGCAGGCCCCCGGACCAAGGCGCGCCCGCGGACCAAGGCGCGCCCCCGGACCAAGGCGCGCCCCCGACCAAGGCGCGCCCCCGGACCAACGCAGTCCCCCGGACCAAGGCGCGCCCCCGGACCAAGGCGCGCCCCAAGACCAAGGCGCGCCCCCGGACCAAGGCGCGCCCCCGGACCAAGGCGCGCGCCCACACCAAGGCGCTCCCCCGGACCAAGGCGCGCCCCCGGACCAAGGCGCGCCCCCGGACCAAGGCGCGCCCCCGGACCAAGGCGCGCCCCCGGACCAAGGCGCGCCCCCGGACCAAGGCGCGCCCCCGGACCAAGGCGCGCCCGCGGACCAAGGCGCGCCCCCGGACCAAGGCGCGCCCCCGGACCAAGGCGCGCCCCCGGACCAACGCAGTCCCCCAGACCAAGGCGCGCCCGCGGACCAAGGCGCGCCCGCGGACCAAGGCGCGCCCCCGGACCAAGGCGCGCCCCCGGACCAAGGCGCGCCCCCGGACCAAGGCGCGCGCCCGGACCAAGGCGCGCGCCCGGACCAAGGCGCGCCCCCGGACCAAGGCGCGCCCCCGGACCAAGGCGCGCCCCCGACCAAGGCGCGCCCCCGGACCAACGCAGTCCCCCGGACCAAGGCGCGCCCCCGGACCAAGGCGCGCCCCCGGACCAAGGCGCGCCCCCGGACCAAGGCGCGCCCCCGGACCAAGGCGCGCCCCCGGACCAAGGCGCGCCCCCGGACCAAGGCGCGCCCCCGGACCAAGGCGCGCCCGCGGACCAAGGCGCGCCCGCGGACCAAGGCGCGCCCCCGGACCAAGGCGCGCCCCCGACCAAGGCGCGCCCCCGGACCAACGCAGTCCCCCGGACCAAGGCGCGCCCCCGGACCAAGGCGCGCCCCCGGACCAAGGCGCGCCCCCGGACCAAGGCGCGCCCCCGGACCAACGCGCGCCCCCGGACCAAGGCGCGCGCCCACACCAAGGCGCTCCCCCGGACCAAGGCGCGCCCCCGGACCAAGGCGCGCCCCCGGACCAAGGCGCGCCCCCGGACCAAGGCGCGCCCCCGGACCAAGGCGCGCCCCCGGACCAAGGCGCGCCCCCGGACCAAGGCGCGCCCGCGGACCAAGGCGCGCCCCCGGACCAAGGCGCGCCCCCGGACCAAGGCGCGCCCCCGGACCAAGGCGCGACCCCGGACCAAGGCGCGCCCCCGGACCAAGGCGCGTCCCCGGACCAAGGCGCGCCCCCGGACCAAGGCGCGCCCCCGGACCAAGGCGCGCCCCCGGACCAAGGCGCGCCCCCGGACCAACGCGCGCCCCCGTACCAAGGCGCGCGCCCACAACAAGGCGCTCCCCCGGACCAAGGCGCGCCCCCGGACCAAGGCGCGCCCCCGGACCAAGGCGCGCCCCCGGACCAAGGCGCGCCCCCGGACCATGCCGCGCCCCCGGACCAAGGCGCGCCCCCGGACCAAGGCGCGCCCCCGGACCAAGGCGCGCCCCCGGACCAAGGCGCGCCCCGGGACCAAGGCGCGCCCCCGGACCAAGGCGCGCCCCCGGACCAAGGCGCGCCCCCGGACCAAGGGGCGCCCCCGGACCAAGGCGCGCCCCCGGACCAAGGCGCGCCCCCGGACCAAGGCGCGCCCCCGGACCAAGGCGCGCCCCCGGACCAAGGCGCGCCCCCGGACCAAGGCGCGCCCCGGGACCAAGGCGCGCCCCCGGACCAAGGCGCGCCCCCGGACCAAGGCGCGCCCCCGGACCAAGGGGCGCCCCCGGACCAAGGCGCGCCCCCGGACCAAGGCGCGCCCCCGGACCAAGGCTCGCCCCCGGACCAAGGCGCGCCCCCGGACCAAGGCGCGCCCCCGGACCAAGGCGCGCCCCGGGACCAAGGCGCGCCCCCGGACCAAGGCGCGCCCCCGGACCAAGGCGCGCCCCCGGACCAAGGCGCGCCCCCGGACCAGGGCGCGCCCCCGGACCAAGGCGCGCCCCCGGACCAAGGCGCGCCCCCGGACCAAGGCGCGCCCCCGGACCAAGGCGCGCCCGCGGACCAAGGCGCGCCCCCGGACCAAGGCGCGCCCCCGGACCAACGCAGTCCCCCAGACCAAGGCGCGCCCGCGGACCAAGGCGCGCCCCCGGACCAAGGCGCGCCCCCGGACCAAGGCGCGCCCCCGGACCAAGGCGCGCGCCCGGACCAAGGCGCGCGCCCGGACCAAGGCGCGCCCCCGGACCAAGGCGCGCCCCCGGACCAAGGCGCGCCCCCGACCAAGGCGCGCCCCCGGACCAACGCAGTCCCCCGGACCAAGGCGCGCCCCCGGACCAAGGCGCGCCCCCGGACCAAGGCGCGCCCCCGGACCAAGGCGCGCCCCCGGACCAAGGCGCGCCCCCGGACCAAGGCGCGCCCCCGGACCAAGGCGCGCCCGCGGACCAAGGCGCGCCCGCGGACCAAGGCGCGCCCCCGGACCAAGGCGCGCCCCCGACCAAGGCGCGCCCCCGGACCAACGCAGTCCCCCGGACCAAGGCGCGCCCCCGGACCAAGGCGCGCCCCCGGACCAAGGCGCGCCCCCGGACCAAGGCGCGCCCCCGGACCAAGGCGCGCCCCCGGACCAAGGGGCGCCCCCGGACCAAGGCGCGCCCCCGGACCAAGGCGCGCCCCCGGACCAAGGCGCGCCCCCGGACCAAGGCGCGCCCCCGGACCAAGGCGCGCCCCCGGACCAAGGCGCGCCCCCGGACCAAGGCGCGCCCCCCGGACCAAGGCGCGCCCGCGGACCAAGGCGCGCCCCCGGACCAAGGCGCGCCCCCCAGGCCCGACCAAGGCGCGCCCCCGGACCAAGGCGCGACCCCGGACCAAGGCGCGCCCCCGGACCAAGGCGCGTCCCCGGACCAAGGCGCGCCCCCGGACCAAGGCGCGCCCCCGGACCAAGGCGCGCCCCCGGACCAAGGCGCGCCCCCGGACCAACGCGCGCCCCCGTACCAAGGCGCGCGCCCACACCAAGGCGCTCCCCCGGACCAAGGCGCGCCCCCGGACCAAGGCGCGCCCCCGGACCAAGGCGCGCCCCCGGACCAAGGCGCGCCCCCGGACCAAGGCGCGCCCCCGGACCAAGGCGCGCCCCCGGACCAAGGCGCGCCCCCGGACCAAGGCGCGCCCCCGGACCAAGGCGCGCCCCGGGACCAAGGCGCGCCCCCGGACCAAGGCGCGCCCCCGGACCAAGGCGCGCCCCCGGACCAAGGGGCGCCCCCGGACCAAGGCGCGCCCCCGGACCAAGGCGCGCCCCCGGACCAAGGCTCGCCCCCGGACCAAGGCGCGCCCCCGGACCAAGGCGCGCCCCCGGACCAAGGCGCGCCCCGGGACCAAGGCGCGCCCCCGGACCAAGGCGCGCCCCCGGACCAAGGCGCGCCCCCGGACCAAGGCGCGCCCCCGGACCAGGGCGCGCCCCCGGACCAAGGCGCGCCCCCGGACCATGCCGCGCCCCCGGACCAAGGCGCGCCCCCAGACCAAGGCGCGCCCGCGGACCAAGGCGCGCCCCCGGACCAAGGCGCGCCCCCGGACCAAGGCGCGCCCCCGGACCAACGCAGTCCCCCAGACCAAGGCGCGCCCGCGGACCAAGGCGCGCCCCCGGACCAAGGCGCGCCCCCGGACCAAGGCGCGCCCCCGGACCAAGGCGCGCGCCCGGACCAAGGCGCGCGCCCGGACCAAGGCGCGCCCCCGGACCAAGGCGCGCCCCCGGACCAAGGCGCGCCCCCGACCAAGGCGCGCCCCCGGACCAACGCAGTCCCCCGGACCAAGGCGCGCCCCCGGACCAAGGCGCGCCCCCGGACCAAGGCGCGCCCCCGGACCAAGGCGCGCCCCCGGACCAAGGCGCGCCCCCGGACCAAGGCGCGCCCCCGGACCAAGGCGCGCCCGCGGACCAAGGCGCGCCCGCGGACCAAGGCGCGCCCCCGGACCAAGGCGCGCCCCCGACCAAGGCGCGCCCCCGGACCAACGCAGTCCCCCGGACCAAGGCGCGCCCCCGGACCAAGGCGCGCCCCCGGACCAAGGCGCGCCCCCGGACCAAGGCGCGCCCCCGGACCAAGGCGCGCCCCCGGACCAAGGGGCGCCCCCGGACCAAGGCGCGCCCCCGGACCAAGGCGCGCCCCCGGACCAAGGCGCGCCCCCGGACCAAGGCGCGCCCCCGGACCAAGGCGCGCCCCCGGACCAAGGCGCGCCCCCGGACCAAGGCGCGCCCCCGGACCAAGGCGCGCCCGCGGACCAAGGCGCGCCCCCGGACCAAGGCGCGCCCCCGGACCAAGGCGCGCCCCCCGGACCAAGGCGCGACCCCGGACCAAGGCGCGCCCCCGGACCAAGGCGCGTCCCCGGACCAAGGCGCGCCCCCGGACCAAGGCGCGCCCCCGGACCAAGGCGCGCCCCCGGACCAAGGCGCGCCCCCGGACCAACGCGCGCCCCCGTACCAAGGCGCGCGCCCACACCAAGGCGCTCCCCCGGACCAAGGCGCGCCCCCGGACCAAGGCGCGCCCCCGGACCAAGGCGCGCCCCCGGACCAAGGCGCGCCCCCGGACCAAGGCGCGCCCCCGGACCAAGGCGCGCCCCCGGACCAAGGCGCGCCCCCGGACCAAGGCGCGCCCCCGGACCAAGGCGCGCCCCGGGACCAAGGCGCGCCCCCGGACCAAGGCGCGCCCCCGGACCAAGGCGCGCCCCCGGACCAAGGGGCGCCCCCGGACCAAGGCGCGCCCCCGGACCAAGGCGCGCCCCCGGACCAAGGCTCGCCCCCGGACCAAGGCGCGCCCCCGGACCAAGGCGCGCCCCCGGACCAAGGCGCGCCCCGGGACCAAGGCGCGCCCCCGGACCAAGGCGCGCCCCCGGACCAAGGCGCGCCCCCGGACCAAGGCGCGCCCCCGGACCAAGGCGCGCCCCCGGACCAAGGCGCGCCCCCGGACCAAGGCGCGCCCCCGGACCAAGGCGCGCCCCCGGACCAAGGCGCGCCCCGGGACCAAGGCGCGCCCCCGGACCAAGGCGCGCCCCCGGACCAAGGCGCGCCCCCGGACCAAGGGGCGCCCCCGGACCAAGGCGCGCCCCCGGACCAAGGCGCGCCCCCGGACCAAGGCACGCCCCCGGACCAAGGCGCGCCCCCGGACCAAGGCGCGCTCCCGGACCAAGGCGCGCCCCCGGACCAAGGCGCGCCCCCGGACCAAGGCGCGCCCCCGGACCAAGGCGCGCCCCCGGACCAAGGCGCGCCCCCGGACCAACGCAGGCCCCCGGACCAAGGCGCGCCCGCGGACCAAGTCGCGCCCGCGGACCAAGGCGCGCCCCCGGACCAAGGCGCGCCCCCGACCAAGGCGCGCCCCCGGACCAACGCAGTCCCCCGGACCAAGGCGCGCCCCCGGACCAAGGCGCGCCCCCGGAACAAGGCGCGCCCCCGGACCAAGGCGCGCCCCCGGACCAACGCGCGCCCCCGGACCAAGGCGCGCGCCCACACCAAGGCGCTCCCCCGGACCAAGGCGCGCCCCCGGACCAAGGCGCGCCCCCGGACCAAGGCGCGCCCCCGGACCAAGGCGCGCCCCCGGACCAAGGCGCGCCCTCGGACCAAGGCGCGCCCCCGGACCAAGGCGCGCGCCCGGACCAAGGCGCGCCCCCGGACCAAGGCGCGCCCCCGGACCAAGGCGCGCCCCCGGACCAAGGCGCGCCCCCGGACCAAGGCGCCCCCCGACCAAGGCGCGCCCCCGGACCAAGGCGCGCCCCCGGACCAAGGCGCGCCCCCGGACCAAGGCGCGCCCCCCGAGCAAGGCGCGCCCCCGGACCAAGGCGCGCCCCGGGACCAACGCGCGCCCCCGGACCAACGCAGTCCCCCGGACCAAGGCGCGCCCCCGGACCAAGGCACGCCCCCGGACCAACGCTGTCCCCCGGACCAGGGCGCGCCCGCGGACCAAGGCGCGCCACCGGACCAAGGCGCGCCCCCGGACCAAGGCGCGCCCCCGGACCAAGGCGCGCCCCCGGACCAAGGCGCGCCCCCGGACCAAGGCGCGCCCCCGGACCAAGGCGCGCCCCCGGACCAAGGCGCGCCCCCGGACCAAGGCGCGCCCCCGGACCAAGGTGCGCCCCCGGACCAAGGCGCGCCCCCGGACCAAGGCGCGCCCCCGGACCAAGGCGCGCCCCCGGACCAAGGCGCGCCCCCGGACCAAGGCGCGCCCCCGGACCAAGGCGCGCCCCCGGACCAAGGCGCGCGCCCACACCAAGGCGCTCACCCGAACCAAGGCGCGCCCGCGGACCAAGGTGCGCCCCCGGACCAAGGCGCGCCCCCGGACCAAGGCGCGCCCCCGGACCAAGGCGCGCCCCCGGACCAAGGCGCGCCCCTGGACCAAGGCGCGCCCCCGGACCAAGGCGCGTCCCCGGACCAAGGTGCGCCCCCGGACCAAGGTGCGCCCCCGGACCAAGGCGCGGGCGCGCGCCCACACCAAGGCGCTCCCCCGGACCAAGGCGCTCCCCCGGACCAAGGCGCGCCCCCGGACCAAGGCGCGCCCCCGGACCAAGGCGCGCCCCCGGACCAACGCGCGCCCCCGGACCAAGGTGCGCCCCCGGACCAAGGCGCGCCCCCGGACCAAGGCGCGCCCCCGGACCAAGGCGCGCCCCCGGACCATGGCGCGCCCCCGGACCAAGGCGCGCCCCCGGACCAAGGCGCGCCCCCGGACCAAGGCGCGCCCCCGGACCAACGCAGGCCCCCGGACCAAGGCGCGCCCGCGGACCAAGGCGCGCCCCCGGACCAAGGCGCGCCCCCGACCAAGGCGCGCCCCCGGACCAACGCAGTCCCCCGGACCAAGTCGCGCCCCCGGACCAAGGCGCGCCCCCGGACCAAGGCGCGCCCCCGGACCAAGGCGCGCCCCCGGACCAAGGCGCGCGCCCACACCAAGGCGCTCCCCCGGACCAAGGCGCGCCCCCGGACCAAGGCGCGCCCCCGGACCAAGGCGCGCCCCCGGACCAAGGCGCGCCCCCGGACCAAGGCGCGCCCCCGGACCAAGGCGCGCCCCCGGACCAAGGCGCGCCCCCGGACCAAGGCGCGCCCGCGGACCAAGGCGCGCCCCCGGACCAAGGCGCGCCCCCGGACCAAGGCGCGCCCCCGGACCAACGAAGTCCCCCGGACCAAGGCGCGCCCGCGGACCAAGGCGCGCCCGCGGACCAAGGCGCGCCCCCGGACCAAGGCGCGCCCCCGGACCAAGGCGCGCGCCCGGACCAAGGCGCGCGCCCGGACCAAGGCGCGCCCCCGGACCAAGGCGCGCCCCCGGACCAAGGCGCGCCCCCGACCAAGGCGCGCCCCCGGACCAACGCAGTCCCCCGGACCAAGGCGCGCCCCCGGACCAAGGCGCGCCCCCGGACCAAGGCGCGCCCCCGGACCAAGGCGCGCCCCCGGACCAAGGCGCGCCCCCGGACCAAGGCGCGCCCCCGGACCAAGGCGCGCCCCCGGACCAAGGCGCGCCCCCGGACCAAGGCGCGCCCCCGGACCAAGGCGCGCCCCCGGACCAAGGCGCGCCCCCGGACCAAGGAGCGCCCCCGGACCAAGGCGCGCCCCCGGACCAAGGCGCGCCCCCGGACCAAGGCGCGTCCCCGGACCAAGGCGCGCCCCCGGACCAACGCAGGCCCCCGGACCAAGGCGCGCCCGCGGACCAAGGCGCGCCCGCGGACCAAGGCGCGCCCCCGGACCAAGGCGCGCCCCCGACCAAGGCGCGCCCCCGGACCAACGCAGTCCCCCGGACCAAGGCGCGCCCCCGGACCAAGGCGCGCCCCCGGACCAAGGCGCGCCCCCGGACCAAGGCGCGCCCCCGGACCAACGCGCGCCCCCGGACCAAGGCGCGCGCCCACACCAAGGCGCTCCCCCGGACCAAGGCGCGCCCCCGGACCAAGGCGCGCCCCCGGACCAAGGCGCGCCCCCGGACCAAGGCGCGCCCCCGGACCAAGGCGCGCCCCCGGACCAAGGCGCGCCCCCGGACCAAGGCGCGCCCCCGGACCAAGGCGCGCCCCCGGACCAAGGCGCGCCCTCGGACCAAGGCGCGCCCCCGGACCAAGGCGCGCCCCCGGACCAAGGCGCGCCCCCGGACCAAGGCGCGCCCCCGGACCAAGGCGCGCCCCCGGACCAAGGCGCGCCCCGGGACCAAGGCGCGCCCCCGGACCAAGGCGCGCCCCCGGACCAAGGCGCGCCCCCGGACCAAGGGGCGCCCCCGGACCAAGGCGCGCCCCCGGACCAAGGCGCGCCCCCGGACCAAGGCTCGCCCCCGGACCAAGGCGCCCCCGGACCAAGGCGCGCCCCCGGACCAAGGCGCGCCCCCGGACCAAGGCGCGCCCCCGGACCAAGGCGCGCCCCCGGACCAAGGCGCGCCCCCGGACCAAGGCGCGCCCCCGGACCAAGGCGCGCCCCGGGACCAAGGCGCGCCCCCGGACCAAGGCGCGCCCCCGGACCAAGGCGCGCCCCCGGACCAAGGGGCGCCCCCGGACCAAGGCGCGCCCCCGGACCAAGGCGCGCCCCGGGACCAAGGCACGCCCCCGGACCAAGGCGCGCCCCCGGACCAAGGCGCGCTCCCGGACCAAGGCGCGCCCCCGGACCAAGGCGCGCCCCCGGACCAAGGCGCGCGCCCGGACCAAGGCGCGCGCCCGGACCAAGGCGCGCGCCCGGACCAAGGCGCGCCCCCGGACCAAGGCGCGCCCCCGGACCAAGGCGCGCCCCCGGACCAAGGCGCGCCCCCGGACCAAGGCGCGCCCCCGGACCAAGGCGCGCCCCCGGACCAAGGCGCGCCCCCGGACCAAGGCGCGCCCCGGGACCAAGGCGCGCCCCCGGACCTAGGCGCGCCCGCGGACCAAGGCGCGCCCGCGGACCAAGGGGCGCCCCCGGACCAAGGCGCGCCCCCGGACCAAGGCGCGCCCCCGGACCAAGGCTCGCCCCCGGACCAAGGCGCACCCCCGGACCAAGGCGCGCCCCCGGACCAAGGCGCGCCCCCGGACCAAGGCGCGCCCCCGGACCAAGGCGCGCCCCCGGACCAAGGCGCGCCCCCGGACCAAGGCGCGCCCCCGGACCAAGGCGCGCCCCGGGACCAAGGCGCGCCCCCGGACCAAGGCGCGCCCCCGGACCAAGGCGCGCCCCCGGACCAAGGGGCGCCCCCGGACCAAGGCGCGCCCCCGGACCAAGGCGCGCCCCCGGACCAAGGCACGCCCCCGGACCAAGGCGCGCCCCCGGACCAAGGCGCGCTCCCGGACCAAGGCGCGCCCCCGGACCAAGGCGCGCCCCCGAACCAATGCGCGCCCCCGGACCAAGGCGCGCCCCCGGACCAACGCAGGCCCCCGGACCAAGGCGCGCCCGCGGACCAAGTCGCGCCCGCGGACCAAGGCGCGCCCCCGGACCAAGGCGCGCCCCCGACCAAGGCGCGCCCCCGGACCAACGCAGTCCCCCGGACCAAGGCGCGCCCCCGGACCAAGGCGCGCCCCCCGGAACAAGGCGCGCCCCCGGACCAAGGCGCGCCCCCCGGACCAACGCGCGCCCCCGGACCAAGGCGCGCGCCCACACCAAGGCGCTCCCCCGGACCAAGGCGCGCCCCCGGACCAAGGCGCGCCCCCGGACCAAGGCGCGCCCCCGGACCAAGGCGCGCCCCCGGACCAAGGCGCGCCCCCGGACCAAGGCGCGCCCTCGGACCAAGGCGCGCCCCCGGACCAAGGCGCGCGCCCGGACCAAGGCGCGCCCCCGGACCAAGGCGCGCCCCCGGACCAAGGCGCGCCCCCGGACCAAGGCGCGCCCCCGGACCAAGGCGCCCCCCGACCAAGGCGCGCCCCCGGACCAAGGCGCGCCCCCGGACCAAGGCGCGCCCCCGGACCAAGGCGCGCCCCCCGACCAAGGCGCGCCCCCGGACCAAGGCGCGCCCCGGGACCAACGCGCGCCCCCGGACCAACGCAGTCCCCCGGACCAAGGCGCGCCCCCGGACCAAGGCACGCCCCCGGACCAACGCTGTCCCCCGGACCAAGGCGCGCCCGCGGACCAAGGCGCGCCCCCGGACCAAGGCGCGCCCCCGGACCAAGGCGCGCCCCCGGACCAAGGCGCGCCCCCGGACCAAGGCGCGCCCCCGGACCAAGGCGCGCCCCCGGACCAAGGCGCGCCCCCGGACCAAGGCGCGCCCCCGGACCAAGGCGCGCCCCCGGACCAAGGCGCGCCCCCGGACCAAGGCGCGCCCCCGGACCAAGGCGCGCCCCCGGACCAAGGCGCGCGCCCACACCAAGGCGCTCACCCGAACCAAGGCGCGCCCGCGGACCAAGGTGCGCCCCCGGACCAAGGCGCGCCCCCGGACCAAGGCGCGCCCCCGGACCAAGGCGCGCCCCCGGACCAAGGCGCGCCCCTGGACCAAGGCGCGCCCCCGGACCAAGGCGCGTCCCCGGACCAAGGTGCGCCCCCGGACCAAGGTGCGCCCCCGGACCAAGGCGCGGGCGCGCGCCCACACCAAGGCGCTCCCCCGGACCAAGGCGCGCCCCCGGACCAAGGCGCGCCCCCGGACCAAGGCGCGCCCCCGGACCAAGGCGCGCCCCCGGACCAAGGCGCGCCCCCGGACCAAGGCGCGCCCCCGGACCAAGGCGCGCGCCCGGACCAAGGCGCGCGCCCGGACCAAGGCGCGCGCCCGGACCAAGGCGCGCGCCCGGACGAAGGCGCGCGCCCGGACCAAGGCGCGCGCCCGGACCAAGGCGCGCGCCCGGACCAAGGCGCGCCCCCGGACCAAGGCGCGCCCCCGGACCAAGGCGCGCCCCCGGACCAACGCAGGCCCCCGGACCAAGGCGCGCCCGCGGACCAAGTCGCGCCCGCGGACCAAGGCGCGCCCCCGGACCAAGGCGCGCCCCCGACCAAGGCGCGCCCCCGGACCAACGCAGTCCCCCGGACCAAGGCGCGCCCCCGGACCAATGCGCGCCCCCGGAACAAGGCGCGCCCCCGGACCAAGGCGCGCCCCCGGAACAAGGCGCGCGCCCACACCAAGGCGCTCCCCCGGACCAAGGCGCGCCCCCGGACCAAGGCGCGCCCCCGGACCAAGGCGCGCCCCCGGACCAAGGCGCGCCCCCGGACCAAGGCGCGCCCCCGGACCAAGGCGCGCCCCCGGACCAAGGCGCGCCCCCGGACCAAGGCGCGCCCCCGGACCAAGGCGCGCCCCCGGACCAAGGCGCGCGCCCGGACCAAGGCGCGCCCCCGGACCAAGGCGCGCCCCCGGACCAAGGCGCGCCCCCGGACCAAGGCGCGCCCCCGGACCAAGGCGCCCCCCGACCAAGGCGCGCCCCCGGACCAAGGCGCGCCCCCGGACCAAGGCGCGCCCCCGGACCAAGGCGCGCCCCCCGACCAAGGCGCGCCCTCGGACCAAGGCGCGCCCCGGGACCAACGCGCGCCCCCGGACCAACGCAGTCCCCCGGACCAAGGCGCGCCCCCGGACCAAGGCACGCCCCCGGACCAACGCAGTCCCCCGGACCAAGGCGCGCCCGCGGACCAAGGCGCGCCCGCGGACCAAGGCGCGCCCGCGGACCAAGGCGCGCCCCCGGACCAAGGCGCGCCCCCGGACCAAGGCGCGCCCCCGGACCAAGGCGCGCCCCCGGACCAAGGCGCGCCCCTGGACCAAGGCGCGCCCCCGGACCAAGGCGCGTCCCCGGACCAAGGCGCGCCCCCGGACCAAGGTGCGCCCCCGGACCAAGGCGCGGGCGCGCGCCCACACCAAGGCGCTCCCCCGGACCAAGGCGCGCCCCCGGACCAAGGCGCGCCCCCGGACCAAGGCGCGCCCCCGGACCAAGGCGCGCCCCCGGACCAAGGCGCGCCCCCGGACCAAGGCGCGCCCCCGGACCAAGGCGCGCCCCCGGACCAAGGCGCGCCCCCGGACCAAGGCGCGCCCCCGGACCAAGGCGCGCCCCCGGACCAAGGCGCGCCCCCGGACCAAGGCGCGCCCCCGGACCAAGGCGCGCCCCCGGACCAAGGCGCGCGCCCGGACCAAGGCGCGCGCCCGGACCAAGGCGCGCGCCCGGACGAAGGCGCGCGCCCGGACCAAGGCGCGCGCCCGGACCAAGGCGCGCCCCCGGACCAAGGCGCGCCCCCGGACCAAGGCGCGCCCCCGACCAAGGCGCGCCCCCGGACCAACGCAGTCCCCCGGACCAAGGCGCGCCCCCGGACCAAGGCGCGCCCCCGGACCAAGGCGCGCCCCCGGACCAAGGCGCGCCCCCGGACCAAGGCGCGCCCCCGGACCAAGGCGCGCCCCCGGACCAAGGCGCGCCCGCGGACCAAGGCGCGCCCGCGGACCAAGGCGCGCCCCCGGACCAAGGCGCGCCCCCGACCAAGGCGCGCCCCCGGACCAACGCAGTCCCCCGGACCAAGGCGCGCCCCCGGACCAAGGCGCGCCCCCGGACCAAGGCGCGCCCCCGGACCAAGGCGCGCCCCCGGACCAACGCGCGCCCCCGGACCAAGGCGCGCGCCCACACCAAGGCGCTCCCCCGGACCAAGGCGCGCCCCCGGACCAAGGCGCGCCCCCGGACCAAGGCGCGCCCCCGGACCAAGGCGCGCCCCCGGACCAAGGCGCGCCCCCGGACCAAGGCGCGCCCCCGGACCAAGGCGCGCCCCCGGACCAAGGCGCGCCCCCCGACCAAGGCGCGCCCGCGGACCTAGGCGCGCCCGCGGACCAAGGCGCGCCCGCGGACCAAGGAATGGATTGTAAGAGAAACTGTGGAGACCTGATGGCACAGGAAGCTAAAATAGAGCAGCTATTTTTTAGTCGACTCAAAAATATACTCGTCACACACGAAACATATGGCTAAAATGGAATGGAACTGCAAGAGGAAGTGTAGAGACTCGATGGCACAGGGAGGTTGACAAATGCCGCTGACTGGGACAATGTGCCTCGAACGACTATTACAGAGCTGCTGGGCTGTTGCACAAGGTGGTTATGAAGGTCTGCTTTTGAGTCGACTCAAAAACAAATGCCGCTGACTGGTACAATGGGCCTCTTACGACTATAACAGAGCTGCTGGGTATGTTTTTTGAGAATTCTCAAAAAACACTCGATGGCACAGGGAGCTTGACAAAGGCTATAACAGAGCTGGGACAGTGGCCCTCTAACGACTATAACAGAGCTGCTGGGCTGTTGCACAAGGTGGTTATGAAGGTGTTGAGTTGACAATAACGAAGCCGACTTTTGAGTCAGCTCAGAATGGAGGTGATTTTGCATTGAATAAACAGATCAACAGCTTGTCCAGCAAAGCTTACTCTGCTGCTTGCACGAGGTGGTGGTGGTTTTGGAGGGTCTTCACTGCTGGCTTCGCTATAAGCACATGGAGGCCTGCAGGTCAGTCAGAGAGGGATGGCAGGGAGAGTACAATGGTGCGGGTGACATAAACAAAGCGATGGAAAAGGAGAAGGGGTTTTGAAAGGAAAGGGGGTTTGAAGCTACCGTGTTGGCACTATCCGAATCTGGCAGTGAAGCCTGTTCACCCTTGTGAGACTGACCACTCACCGTGCTGAATGGCAGCGAGGGCGACGGGGTAGTGAGTTCTGTCTGGAGTGAAGACGGTGACCATGCCTCCCGGCTCACTGTCTTAGACTCCCAGCTCACATGCATGCACCCAGCCAGCACACGTGGCATTCTTGAGTGAAGTGAGTTCGCCTTTGTGAGAGCTGAGACCCACCGTGTTGGATGGCAGCGAGGGCGATGGGGTAGTGCGTGTTGTCGGGGAGTGAAGATGGTGACCATGTCTCCTCGTTGCATGCGCGCCATGGCTGCTAGCCATGCTGCTGCTAGGCATGGTGTGTGGAGAGAACTCCGCCTTATGAGAGGTACGACATGAGCCACCCACCGTGCTGAATGGCAGCGAGGGCAATGGGGTAGTGAGTGTTGTCTGGAGTGAAGATGGTGACCATGTCTCCCGGCTGCATGCGCGCCATGGCTGCCAGGAATGCTGTCTCGTTCCGACTTGCTCTCTTGTGGTAGTAGTACTCACCGTGGTGGATAGCTGAAGGGCGATGGGGTGCTGCGTGTTGTCTGGAGTGAAGATGGTGACCATGTCCCCCGGCTCACTGTCTCTGGCCCCCAGCTGACATGCATGCACCCAGCTAGCACACGTGGCAGTCTTGAGTGAGATGAGTTCATCCTTGTGCGAGCTACTACTCACCGTGTTGAATGGCAGCGAGGGCGATGGGGTAGTGCGTGTTGTCTGGAGTGAAGATGGTGACCATGTCTCCTCGTTGCATGCGTGCCATGGCTGCCAGGTATGCTGCGTCGTCCTCTTGTACGTCGTCTGACACATTCACATGCACATGCATGCACACACATGTGTACACATGCACATACACATGCAAGCGCACACATGTGTACACATGCAAATGCAGATACACATGTATGCATACATGCACATGCACATACACATGTATGCATACATGTACAGGCATGTGCACACACGCACATGAATGCATACACACAAGAGCACACACACACACACACACACACACACATGGATACCCTCACACGTTTCACACACACACACACACACATGGATACCCTCACACGTTTCACACACACACACACACACACACACACACACACACATGTACACACATGCACACACAGACAGAGCCGCTACATCCTTTGAGTTCTTATGCCTGCAATGGGTTTTGGGTATGATTTCACATCGTCATCCTGACAGAACCCACATGGCCGCACATGACAGAAACCGCATGACCAAACCCTCGCATGCACCCCTCGAGTCCACCCCTCGCATGCAACCCTCGCATGCAACCCTCGCATGCAACCCTCGCATGCACGCCTCGCATCCACCCCTTGCGTGCACCCCTCGCATGCACCCCTCGCGTGCACCCCTCGCATGCACCTGACCATCAAATGTCATACTTACCTGGAGGGTAAGTCTCGAGATTCACATCCATGTCTCAGTACACGTCTGCAATCTTCCTCTTGAACATCCCTGTGATGGGACGGCGTTTTATAGTTGAGGCGCCTCAAATGGCATACATACCTGGACGGCTGGAAAGGTCGAAATGACTGGAGAGGTTGGATGGCTGGAACATTTTCTCTTGGGCCACCTCAAAAGCCTTACCTGGAGGGTAAGTCTCCAGAGTCACATCCATGTCTCGGTACACGTCTGCAATCTTCCTCTGCAGCGTCTCTCTGATAGCTGGGAAGTGCCGTCCCGACCGGTCGCACAGCAGCAGTCGCTGCACCTTCCCCAGACGCCGGAGGTCCATCAGTGTGATGGCGATGACACTGCACAGGTGATTTGATTGGATGCGTTGGGGTGGAGTTCGGATGACATGACAGAATGGCCAATTACTAGCAATTCACACAGCAGCAGCCGCTGCACCTTGCCCAGATGACACTGCACGGGTGATTTGGGAGGATTTGGGTAAGGAATGGGATAAATCACATGTCACACACCACCAACCTGTCAGACACCACCAACCCTGCACATTCTCTAGTCGCCTTGCAACAGAGTACTATGCAACCCTCCATGCAAGAGTACCTGTACAAGTACTATGCCTGCCTTTTTACCCCACCATTCTACCTCAGGCGCCATACCTTCACTTCACCCCCCGATTTTCACTTCACCCCGACTCCTCATCTCAACGACACATTGTTACCGTGGCCCTTCCCAGCACGTACCCTGCAGACTTGTCGCTCGCAGCTCCCTCCTTAGTCGGTACAAATCCTGACGAGAATAGCAACCAGTAGCAGCGGAAGTCAGATATGATCTCGTTGGTGTAAAACGGCAGAAGTGTTGACATTTGGCGTGTTCACTCACCTACGGTGTACTCGCCAGCGCCTACCATAAGCACACTGATTGGCTGCTCCATTTTCTCGAATCCTTGTAATCAGTGACGAGGAATCCCGTAATGTGGTACTCCCCCGAAAAACTTTTGAGAAAACGTTGAGCCGAAACGATCAGCGCAGGATGTCGGACTTTCGTCTATGCATGTAAGGTCAGTAGCAAATCGAATTCCGCTTGATGCCTTTGTGCGTTGATAAGCACCGACACGCTGCTGATAAGCGACTGATGGTTGAGCATCAATCTGTGCCTTGGACAAGACACACTACAGACGTTGTCCCAGCACTGCCTGATAGCCTGCTGAGTCGTGGACAAGATTCATGGAGCACTATTTACCAGTGCGACTCAAACCGTCATTATCTGCTTGCTAATTGCGACTTCATTGTGCAGATAAAATCCGCTGAATCGAGGAATTCAGAGTCTCCGGGTACACCAACATTTTCCATGTTGAGAATCAGTGGATTGGGCTGATATGGCACGCGGATCTCCAACATTCTGTGTAAACATTGGGTAACTAGATGTCAATAATGTCCACTCTTGCATTGACTTTCACCTGCCAGCAAGTGATTCTATTAGCGCTTCATCATGTTCCACTTCTGATTTCACAATAATGCCATCATGCATTACCATAGAAGACGGCTCTCAGCCCTAATAAGCCTTCGTCTTTCCCTTCACTTTTCCTCTTCTTCCTTCTCTCCCTCCGTGAACAACCCCCCCTTCATGCCTCTTCCCACCTTCCAGCTCCACTTGCATTTCCACTTTCTTCTTGGCCGTCCCAACTGGAATCCAGGCCAGGGAGCAGAAGAAAGCGAGCAGAAAGAGCACCGAAAACCTGACCTCGATTCCGTCCCAGGACGATCGCATGGCATAGAACGCCAACACCGACAATCCCACGGTTCCGCCAGCAGACGGACCTAAAACGGCCATGAACCCCCCAGCAACCACCAGGAAGCTTCCGCCGATCATATCAATGTCCTGGTCCTTGAAATCCTCCCAGGATGTGGGAAACGCGTGCGCATAAGGATCCTTCGAGATGACCGGATCCAACGGCTGTAAAATGCTGTTCCATTCAGGTAACTTGAAAGGCTCTCCCGAGATGGTTTTCTGGAGGATTTGGGCGAGAATTCCCGGATAGAGCAGGCAGCGGAGCAGCGTGGAAGGCGCTCGACCGTAGGCGTGAAGCTCAGTGACGACTATGTCAAGCGGGGACTTGCAGCGAATCCCGGAGCATGGCAGACTGCGAGGAGTGATCAGATTGGGAGAAAGGCATTATAAGTCTTCATGGTGGAGCGAGATTCAAGCGAGTTTGAGAGAATCTGCGGGAAGTTTGCCTACTCAACTCGAAAAACGGCGCTCGAAAGAGGATCAGGAGGAAGAACATATGGCTGAGCCGCGTTTGCCATGACCACGCAGCAGGTTTCCGCTGGTCCATTTTGAACGAAAGTGAGAGATGCAAAACGAGAGGAGCATACCATGACTCGGCAAAATCATCTTTCAGAGCAGAACAGCTGTGGGAAATTTGGCAAGCAACAATCTCCCATCTCAACCTCTAGCTGCTGGGATTCGACCCTTCAATATACGCTTACGATAAATCTCGTATCTTCGCAATCCACATTTCGACATGGTGGGGTTGTCAATATCGGAAACGAATCCAAATGTTGTAGCCACGAGTCGATTGCAGCTCGCCAATAAACATCCACCAGCTGGTCACCTGCCTTCACACGCGGAAAGCACCCTGGGATGCCATATCACCCGCCTTTGCTGACTCAGCTCGGCTGTGCGTGGCGAGAAGACGGAAATGCTGACCTCGATCTTGGCTGCTCCATCAATCACCGCTCGATGTCACGCGCCCTCCTGTCACCCATCCGTGCGATCGCGCAACCCAACTCGCACCACGCGCGAACCGCCAGCCCGATACGTCAGACACCCACCAAAGGCGGAGATTCGACTGCCAGCGTCGCCCCCACCCCTTGCAGACTCTCCCCTCTTTCCCCCAAACGCCGATCCGCCAGCGCCGTGAATGGAACTCAGTCTGCCGGGACAATCTTCCAGCTGTACAACGATTGGCCACCTTGAAATTTCCACGTCACCTCTCTGGGAAACATCAGATCAGAGATCAGTGCCTCGTTCCTCATGGGATCATCCCCCTCGCAGCGCAAACCCGTCTCGTTCCTCTCGTGTCCCCCCCACTCCCCCCCCTTCCCCCCACTTCCCCCACTAGCGTCTCTGCCCCCTTGATTTCTGGAGAGAAAATTGCCTTTCCCATTCTGGTCTGATCTATCAGCTCAACTCCCTGATCAGCTGATTGAGTGAAGTAGCATTGAGTTGCTTTGAGCTCAACCTTATTTCCAGCCTGATTTGACCAGATCAGGAAGATTGAGCCTCTAATTTCTTTGTGCCTAAAATCGAAAACGGCCGTGTGATAACACATAAAGCAGCTATGGCTTCTACAACGGCCTGCGTTTCCAGGGTGAATGTGTTCAACCCACTGATTCAGGGAAACACCCTCAGGACAAGATGTACAAGCACTGGTGCGTTTTGGCACAATGTCATCCAATGCGGGCTTTATAAAGTGGTCGCTTCGCTACTCGTCCATATCTGCCTGACTCTTCTTTTACAACAGCCATGATTACTCGGAACCCTTTTTACTTCTCCCTCACTTTACACAACCTCGTGCTTCTCTCTTGCGTTTTCCAGTGCGCCTGGCTGCTCCGGCTTTTAGGCCGGCACTCCGAGCTGCTTCCGTAGCTCCTCGTTGCAGCTTCGAGGACTCGTCTTCTTCGGCAGCCTCCAAGCTCGTTAAACGGAGCACCTCTTCCATGTAACAACTTACACTTAGCGCTTAACGATCATCACGTACCTTCACGGCTGGCTGAAAACCTCGCGAAACCTTGGCTTCAACATCTCGTTTATCTAGTTAATCGACCATTTTCCTGCAGCAAAAAACAATGTATCAATACACTGCTACTTTTTTTTAAGCTCTCACGAACGGCACCTTGTTTTTCTGTCCGTCCCTGCAGTGTTGCTCAAGCGGCTGAGGGTGCTGCCGCTCCTGCTCCTGCCGAGGGCCCAAGTTCCCTTAAGAAGTTCATTGAGACCCTCACCACCCTCTTCCCACTCTGGGTAACCAGCTACCTCGTCATTCTTTTGCGTTTCATTCCTGTTTTTATTCTGTTTTCCTCTCTATTAATCTTACGTACTTATTTCGTTTCACTGTCGCTGCCGTTTTCTCCATCCAGGTCATTCTTGGAACCGTCATCGGTCTCGTTAAGCCTTCAGCTGTAAGCCTTCTCATCCTAAGTCACCCCTCTGACCCTCTTCCACTTTTCCCGCCATGACAAGGTTCAGCGTTATTCAGGATCATTTTTTTGTTCCAGCAACATTAATGTGCTTGTTCTTTTCTGCTTTCAGGTGACATGGCTCCAAACCGACCTCTTCACATACGCTCTCGGTTTCCTCATGCTCTCCATGGGCCTCACGCTCACCTTCGAGGACTTCCGCCGCTGCCTCCGCAACCCCTGGACGGTAAGCCATTGATCCAAAATAATCATCACCTAAATTCGTCAGTGACTAATCGTGCGATGATCCATGCACAGAACGCTGCTCTAAGTTGCACAATCCGTTCCTCTTTTGTTCCATCTTTCCACAGGTCGGAGTCGGCTTTATCGCACAGTACTGCATTAAGCCCATTCTTGGCTATGCCATTGCTCTGGTAAGGAACTGAACCACAAAGGAAGCTAAACCCTCACATTGACTCATCAACCTGTAGTGGGAATGCCAATCCTTTTAAACCTTCTAATGTCCTCCTATTTCACTATGCTTTTCTTCGTTCCAACTCCTCCCATGACATTCTAATGCGTTCGTCTCGGTTTCATTTCCTACCAATATCGGTTGTGTTTCCAGGCGCTGAAGCTCCCCGCCCCCCTGGCCACCGGGCTCATCCTCGTGTCGTGCTGCCCCGGCGGTCAGGCATCCAATGTCGCCACCTATATCTCGCGCGGCAACGTCGCCCTCTCCGTGCTCATGACCACGTCAGTCTCCGCCCTAACCCCCGAACCCTGGTTCCTTTTCCCGTCCCGTCAGTCTCAAGTGTAGAGTCCATTGAAACTCGCTCCCATCTGCGTCCTCCCTCGTGGTTTCTGTTTGGCTTGTAAATTCGCTTTTTTGCTTTCTCCTTTCGGTCTGCCTCCACGACAGGGCGTCCACCATCGGCGCCATCTTCATGACGCCCTTCCTCACCAAGGTCCTTGCCGGCCAGCTGGTGCCCGTCGACGCCAAGGTAAGCGTGATCTTTCATTTCCACGCCATCTCATTTTTTTTTCCCCCTCGTCAGTTGCATCTGCGTGCCCCTTTTTAAGGCCGACAGAGCGTACTCAACATTACGCTTTGCTTTCCTTTCCTGCAGGGTCTGGCTCTCAGCACTTTCCAGGTCGTTCTTGTGCCCACCATTTGTGGAGGTGAGAGACCTTTATCCCACCTACATCTATGCATTGAAAGCAGTATTGTAAGCTGTTGCTACTCGGAGCGGTTGTTCCATCGAGTAGCCTGTGGACTGATAATATTCTTTCGTGCATCTTCCTTCCTCCCATGATGCAGTCCTGGCTAACGAGTTCTTCAACGACATCACCAAGAAGATCACTTTCTTCACGCCACTTGTTGGCGTTGTTCTCACCACCCTGCTCTGCGCCTCCCCGGTACTTAATCCATTGCACCTTTCTTTCGTTCCTCTTCCGACTTGTTGGTCCTTGTCGAATCTTTCTAGTGGAAAAGATCCCTGTCACGCCTGCTTTTAGACTAGTCGCTCCTCACCCTTTCCCTCCCTCGCCCTTACCTCTTCCCTCACCCTGACACCACCTCCTCACCCTTGGTATCATCCCCGCACCCTTGCATCACCCCTTCACCCTTGCCTCACATCCCACCCTCGCATCATCCCCCTCCTTGCATCACGCACTCACCTTTGCATCGCCCCTTTTTCCCGTTTCCCGTCCCCTACTGACCAACAGATTGGTCAGGTGGCGGAGGTGCTCAAGGCTCAGGGCGCGCAGCTCATCCTCCCCGTCGCAGCTCTGCACGCCTTCGCCTTTGCTCTCGGCTACTTCCTTTCAAAAATCTTCAACTTCAGCGAGTCCACCTCCCGCACCATCTCCATTGAGTGCGGCATGCAGGTGAGAGTGACATGGTTGCAGGGTTACAGCTGGCATGCACATGAACGGGCCATCCAATGTGAGTTAAAATGCAGGTCAGCTGGACTACAAACAGCCCAACAGCTAAGCATGAAGCATGAATCTTACACACGTCTTCAGAATAAAGACATGCCAATGACATTTTTCCTCCCTATCTTTCCCACCTGTTTCTCTGGTTTTTTTTTTTTGGTTGGCTTCAGAGCTCGGCCCTTGGGTTCCTGCTAGCGCAAAAGCACTTCTCCAACCCACTGGTCGCTGTGCCATCTGCTGTCAGCGTTGTCTTCATGGCTGTAAGTTTGTGGGAGTTCAGAAGTGGCTTGTGTTTGCTTGTCTGCCATGTAGCGTATGTTTCTCTACTGTTGTGGTATTCAATGCTTGTTGTTGATAAGCTGTCTTCGTCTGTGTTCGTCCCTTGGTGTCTGCAGCTGGGAGGAAGTGCTCTTGCCGTCTTCTGGAGGAACAACCCACTTCCCAAGGATGACAAGGATGATTTCAAGGCTTAGATGTGATGCGATGGAACCTGTGGGGCTGCAGCCCCTCTTTTTTCAGTATAATGTAGACGATGTCTCGCTTTTTGAGTTATGTGCTCCACTAGGTTTGTCTTCATATATACGTATTTGCTGGATTCCAATATAATGGGAAGTACCATAAGATGCATGCGTACGATAGTACTGTACTGTTTGGCCCGGAGTTGTGCCCGTTAAAGGGTGCATTCTTGTCCCAAACAAATAGCCTCCTATATTCCTATCCTGATTCAGCCTGAGTAGCACACCCAGTGGTCCAGAGTTTGTTCTAATCTAAACCCTGTACATTCCTTCTAGCAACATGCCTCTTCGGCTATAATATCTGCCATATAATCCAGAAGCTAGCACGTGAAGGTTTTGGTTGTAAAAGTCTGTATATGGGCGGTAATATCATGCTTTCCTGGGAATATAGTAAGATGATTGCAGCCGCAGCAATACATATTATGGCACGACCAATCGATGTTTTAACGAAGCGGCCAGACCCTTAAAGCAAGGGTGCACTTTGGGGGGGGGTGGACCCAAAGGTTTATCACTTGCCTTGGGTGGTTACCCTGTTTGTGCTTGGGAGCAGGGCTGTCGCTACAAGGGCAAATGCCCTTAATGCCCTGAACATTAAGGGTTGAGTTTGGCCTAGGTCCCCGAACTTAAGGGTTGGGTTTCAGGTCAGCACGTCTGCCTAAAGTGCTTTGCTCGGGGCTAACCCGGATTTCAAGTACGAGTCTTGGGGCTAGCCCTTTCCCCTTCGAACTGATTCCCGCCGTACCTCCCTCCCCTCTCCCCACCCGCCCCATTTCCCATCATCCCAGTTCCAGGTGCAGCATAACTCTTCCCAAAGCCAGTTTCGATTACTCTGTGAACTTTCGAGGTCAGGACCTAAACTGTTTTTTTCGAAATCAGAACCTGAACCGCAGGTCAGAACCTGAAGTGGTTTTAGTACAGACCGTAGGTTTCTGCGAGGAATGTCAGTCCTTCAGGTTTCTGTCCGCTAACAGCCTCAAGATCCTGCCTTTGGTCGCAACAAGGGGAATGCAGCGTAGGCCAGGGAGTACTTAGTGCTAGAGAGGTCCCAGAACCTCACCCTTACAATTTGGTTGGGCAGTGAAAATCGAGGGTGATCTCTTGTCTAGCAAAAGTGCATGACACTTTGTAGCCCTGATTTCAAGTGCTGAGTTTGGCCCCAAAACGTAAATCTAAGGGCAAATTTCTGGGCAGCTCAGCCTTCCAAGTTCTGGCCCCAGAGCAATCGACAGCCCTGCTTGGGAGTCCGACGAGAAACAAAGTTCAGTGTTGGCGGACTTGCGCGACGCCCCCGTCGTCAGCTGCGACGCCCCTGCTGGGAGTTGGGAACTTGAGTTACGGGAAGCAGTTTGTGAACCAAAACGAGTTGACCAGTGCCCCAGCAGACATGGTCCCTCACACACGATGTTATCACTTGGCCAAAATGACGCTAACCAAAACAGCAAGAAGAGCACAGATTAGTTAGTCACCTCGCCTCGACGCCACACCCGCCCATCGCCTTCATTTCGCACGCCCAGGGTTTAGTGTTGTTCGCAGTCACTCGACGCTTTTTGTGGTTGTACATCGCGATCCGATTTTAGCGCGCTTTTATCCGCGACGGCGCACGCAGAGGGCGCGACTTCACCATACAGGCGAAGGTACGTCCGCGCTCCCGATGCTCGCCTAACGTGCAGCGAAATCGTACAATATCTCTTGCACTGCCCCTTATCGCACGCGTCTCCGTGTCGACGTCGCCATCGCTCACTCCCTCCCATCGCCCACGCACACTCCCCTCGTCCGCCCACGCGCACTCCCCTCTTTCGCCCACGCAAACTCCCCTCGTCCGCCCCCGCGCGCTCCCCTCTTTCGCCCACGCACACTCCCCGCGTCCACCCCCGCGCACTCCCCACTTTCGCCAGGGTACACTCCCCTCGTCCGCCCCCGCGCACTCCCCTGTTTCACCCCCACGCTCACTCCCCTCCCGTCGGGCACGCGACGCTTCCCTCCGTCACACACGCTCCCTCCAAGAAGTCGCCCCCCTCACTCCCCTCCGTCACCCACGTGCATTCCCCTCCGTGCTGATTTGGTAGCAGCAGCCTCCCTCCTTTCCCCTTTTGCAACCCTAAACTCCCTCTCCCCCCTGCTTCCCCGCCATCTCCTCCCTGCTTCCCCTCCTTTCCTGGACTGCTTCCCCTCCTTCCCCCCCCCTGCTTCCCCGCACGAAGGGCGGACGGTAGCAAGCAGCAATTCGCGTGACGGGCGGACGAGCAGCGACACGGAGCGGCGGCGAGAACAGAAATTCAGCTGCTAAGTCGCTGTTGTGCAAAGGGATTGCGAGGAACCACGACACAACCTGCTTTGGTATGCCTCATCGTCGTCGTGTCGGGGGCCTGTTCCTTATTTTCCGCAACCCTCTCGTCTGCACATTGCGGCTACTCCACTCCCCGCCCCTCTGCACGCATCTCCCTTCCGCACTGACCGCGTCTCGTTCTTCCCCTAATCCCGTATTTTCCAGCGTTACATACCTTTTCCACCTTTCACCTGTCGGCCTTACTCTCTTCTTCCCCCTAAACCCTCTCTGCCTTACGCCCATCCTCCCCACGCTCGCTCTCAATCTTACACCCTTCTTCCCCCACCATGCGTCCTCTGCCTTACGCCCTGCTTCCCCCTTTCCCCTCTCTTCCCTACACCATCATTCCCCCTCTCCCCTCTTTGCCTTAACCTCTTGTGTGCCCCTTTCCCCTCTCTGCCTTACCCCCTTCTTCCCGTTCTCTGCCTTATGCCCTGCTTCCCCTTTTTCCCTCTCTGTCCTACATCCTTCCTCCCCCTGTCCCCTCTCTGCCTTACCCCCTTCTTCCGCCTTTCCCCCCTCTCTGCCTTACGCCATTCTCCCCCCTTTTCCCCTCTTCCATACGCTCTTCTTCCCCCTTCCCCCTCTCTGCCTTACGCCCGTTTTTCCCCTTACGCCACTCTGCCTTACTCCCCTTCTTCCACCTTTTCCCTATCTCCCTTGCTTCCTTCTACCCCCTTCCCCACTCTGCCTGTCACCCGTCTTCTCCCCTTCCCCACTCTGGCTTCCAACCGTCTTCTCCCCTTCTCCACTCTCCCTTACACCCTTCTTCCAACTTTCCCCTCTCTGCCTTTTTTGGGACCCTTACGCCTCTGCGCCTCACTCTCGTTGACCACCCTTCCCCAATCTCCCCATCCTCCTTCTTTTTCCACGCCCTCTCTGCCATTCACCCCACTTCCCCCTTTCTCTCTCTGCGTTACACCCTTCTTCCGCCTTTCGCCTCTATGCCTTGCACCCTTTATCCCCCTTACGCCACTCTGCCATACTCCCCTTCTTATACCTTTCCACTATCTCCCTTACCTCCTACATCACCCTTTGCCTCTATGCCATTCTCCCTTCTTCTCCCCTTCCCGTCTCTCCCTTACGCCCTTCTTCCCCCTCTCCCCTCTCTGCCTTTCCCATCTCTGCCTTCCACCCTTCTCCCCCCTTACACCCCTCGCTACACTGTCCTTTCTCCCCCCCCCACGCAACCACCTCCTTTCTCCCCCGCTTCCCACGCAGTCGTTGCGCCTCTCGCGGGGGTGTAACATCAACACTCTGATCGCGGAAACAGGTATAGAACGCCATATCTTCCCTCCCTCTCTCCTCCCTCTTCCTTCTCTCATCATCCTCCCCTCTCTCCTCTGTCTTCCCTCACGCCCCTCCCTGCCCTCTCCCCTCCGCCTTTCCTTTCTCAACCCCCTGCTCTATCTCCTCCCCTCTCTAATCTCAACTCCATGACCTCTCCTCCCCATCTTCCCTCCCTCACCTCTCAGCCCTCTATCCCTTCAATGCCCTCTCTCCCCTCCATGCCCACTCTCGACCCCTTGCCCTCTTTCCCCTATCTCCTTCACATCCATCTTCCCCCCTCCCCCTCTCTGTGGGACACCCTTCTTCTCCCCTTCCCCTCTCTCCTTACAACCTCCGTCCCCCTTTCCCCTGTCTGCGGTACACCGGTTTTCCCCCTTTCCCCTGTCTGCGGTACACCGGTTTTCCCCCTTTCCCCTGTCTGCGGTACACCGGTTTTCCCCCTTTCCCCTGTCTGCCTCTCACCATTCTTCCCCCTTTCCCCTCTGTGCCAGTCACCCTTCAACCTCTATTCCCCCCTTTGCCTTTCAACCTTCGTCACCCCTTCCTCTCTCTGCCTTACGCTCTTCTTCCCCCCGTTCCATCCTTCCTTACAACCTGCTTCACCCTCTCCCCTCTCTGCCTTGGATTCTCCCTCTGTCCCTTGCTCTTTCACACACCTTGCTCCCTCTGACCCTTGCTCACTCACACACCTTGCTCCTTCTCTCCGTTGCTCACGCACTCACATTGCTCCCTCTGTCCCTTGCTCACGCACTCACCTTGATCCATCTGTCCCTTACTCACGGACTCACCTTGCTCCCTTTCTACCTTGCTCACTCACTCACCTTGCTCTCTCTGTCCCTTCCTCACGCACTCACCTTGCTCCATCCGTTTTTTGCTCACTCACATGCCTTTTGTCCTCTGTCCCTTGCTCACTCACACACCTTGCACCATCTGTCCTTTGCTCACTCACACACCGTGCTCCACCTTTCCTTTGCACGCGCTGTCCTTACACCTCTCGCGGTTGTTTGCACACTCCAAAAAACGCATCTAGCTCATGAGGTGTCATGCCTTCACTCTCCCAATATGCCCTGTCTCTGTCCTCCAGGGCTTAGGTCCTTTGCTCAACCCGCCTTGTTACTCTGCCTCACCTTAGCCTTGCGCCCCACGACGTGCTTTCGCGCCCACCTCTCGCATTCCGCCGCTTGTTCCCCTCATTAGTGCCCATGTGTGTCAGACTGGTCCTACGACTATGTTTGGTGACACTGACATGAGCGGGTTGCGCGCATGGGTCCATCCACGGTAGCTACAACTATTCTCACGCAGTGTTTATGTTATGTCGGACAAGGCTGCCCCCCACACACATTCGGCGTTATATTTAAATATTAAACATGTCACAATTGGCAAGTAACTGTAAGTGGCTTTATGCAATGATGTGTTGATATTCCCCCACACATCCCGATTCTCTGAAGGTGGAACGTGCGTGAATGTGGAACTTCATGTCACACATGTAAGGAAACCTTAAACCGCAGGGGATAGTGTGCAGTCTCTCCTTCCTTTCAACTTACAACCGGGTGGTACGTCATGTTGGCACATCTAGTAAAAGGAGCACTCATAGTTATACAATATTCACAGCGCTAGTGCCTTCTCCACATGTAAGGGCTTCCCCTTAGTAGGTGTCCCCAGGCTACTGGTCAGCGTATATGTTGCATATACTGTGGAGGTGGAAGTGTGAGATGGGAGGACGGGATGAGAGAGCGGAGGAAGGGCAGAGTGTTGGGATAGGGGGGATGATATGAGGTTGGAACGAGGGAGGAGAGGAGGTATGGAGGAAGGAAGGAACTGAGGAAGGGAAGATGGCTGGAGATGAAGAGGACAGGGTGTAGAGTGGAAGGGTTGGGGGAAGAGTGGTCAAGGGGGGAAGAGGGGGACAAGGAGGGGGGGAGTAATGTGGAGCGTGGAGAAGGAGGGGATAGAATGTGCCTCAGAGTGCAATGCAGCACGGACAAGGGTCGGATGGAAAAGGGACGTGCATCACTGTAATTATGAGCGCCATGGTGCCGCGGAGGACAGACTTGGGGCGGATGAACGAGGAACTATGTTGGGGTCACGGGAGTAGTGGGGTGACGAGGGGGGCTGGAGGAGGGAGGGACGGGTGCATGTGGGAGGAAGAGGGGAATGCGGATAAAGGGAGAGATGAGAGAGGGATCATGCTCCTGGCGCCTAAACCCTGGGGAAGGGGAGGGGGGGGGTGAGGAGTGAGAAGAGGGTGTGGGTAGAGTGGAGTGGGGCTGTGTTGAGTGGGGCTGTGTTGCAAGTGGCAGAGGTGAGGAGGAATGGAAACCGGTGTGCACTCTCTTGTATTCCTACCCTCCCTCCCTCCCCCCCCCTCCCCCCTCGTAGGAGGTGAGGAAATGGGGTATGAACGATGGGTGTACCTGTGGGTATGGAGGAAGGAAGGAACTGAGGTAGAGGAGTGGCCGGAAAAGTGTGAGGACATGGTGGATAGCGGAGGACAAGGGGGAGAACGGTCAAGGGGGGGGGAGAGGAGGACACGGATGGGGAAGGGGAAGTGCGAGGCGGGGAAAAGGGGAGGAGCGACCTGGGGGGGAAGAGGAAGTGGGAACTCCAGGGAAGGGGAAGCGCGACCTGGAGGAAAGGGGGGGAGGGACATGGGGGGGAAGGGTTTGTGGTACCTGGGGGGAAGGGGAAGTGCGTCCTGGAGGCGAGTGGGGAGGACGGGATGCGAGAGGGGAGGACGGGATGCGAGAGGAGAGTGAGGGATGAGAGAGGAGAGGACGGGATGAGAGAGGAGAGAGGGGGATGAGAGAGGGGCGGGAGAGATGAGAGAGGGGAGGACGAGATGAGAGAGGAGAGGGAGGGAGGAGAGATGGGAGGACGAGATGAGAGATGAGAGTGAGGGATGAGAGAGGAGAGGACGGGATGGGAAAGGAGAGGGAGGGATGAGAGAGGGGGGGACGGGATGAGAGAGGGACGGGAGAGATGAGAGAGGGGATGACGGGATGAGAGTGGAGAGGGGGGGATGAGAGAGGGGAGGACGAGATGAGAGAGGAGAGGGGGGGATTAGAGAGGGGAGGACGGGATGAGAGAGGAGAAGACGGGATGAGTGAGGAGAAGACGGGATGAGTGAGGAGAAGACGGGATGAGAGAGGGGAGGCACTGATCTGAGAGGGGAAGAAGGTGGGGGCATGAGTGCACACAGGCCCACAGGCTGCGATGCGGCAGGCGGCGACCTGTCCGAGTGGCGGGGAGTTGGCGATGTGGCGGCGAGGCTACGACGGCACGTCGACGAGGATGTGACGCGGCTAGCTTACCTCCCTGTGGACGAGGGGGCGATGCCGGGGCGCGGCGGCAATGTGGTGGTGAGGCTGCGACGCATTGCACCGTGGTAACCGTCGCGCCGACCCTCCTACCACTTCGTCGCGGCCTAATCTCGTTCTCCGGATTTTTGGTTGACGCGCCGCGATGTGCCTCTACGGAAGGCGTGACTGCGCAATGGCGGCAAAGAGGGTGTCAGGCGGCAGTGCATCCCGCAGGGCGCGGGAGAGATGCATCGTGGAGGATCTTCGCCGTCGCGGCGGGAGGAAACGACCCCCTAAACACGGCGAGGAGGGGGTCACTCCGTTTGTGGTTCAGCCACAGCATCAAATTCCCACGATCCGATAACGACTCGCAGCACTGACTGACATCTCTGCGACCTACACGAAATGTGGCCTTATGCGAGCGAGATCGAAACCCTAAACACGTTTGCGATCCATGCTAAGCACTAAGTCGTAGTGACTTGTTCTCCGTTTGCTCAGTTCTTCCGTCATTCTATTTGCTTGCTCAAAATCTACTGCTCTGTTGAACCTCGCGAACTGACGGGGTCATTTTCTGAGATCCCCGCTTTTTGGGGGCGCTGGGGGCTTGCGTTCCGCCCAACCCCTTCCTTTGCGTTCCCCCAAATCCTGGGCGAATTCGAGTGGCCTCGCTAGTGTGGTGTCGTCACCTCGCACCAGGCATACAACCGGAACCAATTTTCGCTCGCGAATCACTGGGCATCAAAGGGTGTACATGATAATAACCCCAAAAACCACCCCTAGGAATGTGCACCCTTGCTTTAATGGAAACGATACGTTGGGTAACTACCACGACAACTTAGCAGCAACACCTGCGACACCTCCTTGCAACTTCGTCGCTGGGACGACGAAACAAAACCCTTTTCGCGCGACGCACGAATCTGAAGGGTGATGTGTTCGCGGTTTGCCGTTGGAAAGCAATTTTCGCACCCAACCCCATTCAAGTCAGCTGAACTGACCAAGCCAGTCAACAGCCGCTGTCGCATGATTGTCGAGTCAATGGCCTGGAAGGAAAAAATCAGCCGTCACTGACGATTTTTATCCTGCCCCCTGCCGACCGCCAAACTTCTCCCTCCTCCTGAACGCAAATCCTCCAATCTTCACATTTCGCGAAATTCGTCGAGCGTGGAATTCAGCGACTCGATCGGGAAATTCTCGAGTCAACCCAAATTCGCCCCTCCCTCACCAAGCTTCCGCTACCTTTCATTCACATCTCATCATCCTCATCATCACCTTCCCCAATTACCTGCAATCCATTGATCCAACGTACTTCTGTGACTTTTTCTTGTGCGCTTTACTTTACTGTCTACATTATTCCGCCGCCAGTCCATAGGCTGCAGGTTTGAAAACACTAATCTCGTTCTCAAGCGTACTCAGTCGTTACATAGATCATATAGCAAGTATCAAGCGACACTAAAACCATATAGCATTGCTGCTTAGCATAGTAATTGTAGATAAAAAAAGCATTTGGTGCCAATGGGGGGCTGCGTGTCGATCGAGGAGGACCCCAGAGGCCGAGTGGGGCCAGCACCTAGCCGCTCATCATCCCGCGCAACCCATTCAAACCGCGTTGCTCCGCAAAGCCCCTCGACGGCAAGCAAGCGCTCGGCGCGCAAGTCCTCCCCGATGCGATCCCCTTCCTCCGCTTCCGCTTCCGCGTATCGTTCCGGCGGACTCCTACCCAAATCCAACGAGAGCAACGTCAGTGCCGCCAGTGGCGGGAGCGGAAGCGGCCGCCGATCCTGCCCGCAAACACCGCGTGGGGGTTCCGCCGGCGGCTTCCGGACTCCCCCTGGCAGCGGCGGGCTAGGTTCCGGCCGACGCGGCGGCGCGCTTGCGGATCGAACGGCTCTGGCGAACGGCGGGGTTGCTATGTCATCGCTGCGCGAATTCTCGTACCAGGAGCTATGGATAGCGACGCGGAAATTCGAAAAGGAAGGGAAGCTGGGGGAAGGCGGATTCGGGAGCGTTTTCCGAGGAGCGATCGAAGAGGATGTTTGCGCTTCAGGCGCGGGGATGGGCGCGGGGGGCGGAGAGGGCGGAAAGCGAAAGGTGCAGGTTGCGGTAAAGGTGCTGAATCAAGGGGGGCAGCAGGGGGAGACGGAATGGAAGACAGAGGTTCGGTACCTAAGCGAGCTTCGGCACCCGAACCTGGTGCGGCTAGTCGGGTACTGCTCGGACGGGCATCACCGGCTGTTGGCTTACGAGTATCTTCCATACGGCAGCCTCGAGCGATTCCTCTTCACTCGTGAGTTCCTGTTCAGCGATTGCTTTTCAGCCGATTTAAACCAGTCTCAAAACACGAGGCTGCCGTATCTACCGCACCGCTGCCTCGACCGATTCAACTTCAGCCGTTAATTTGAAACCGTCGCAGCCTATCGTCGCCATCGCTGTCGTCATTCCGCTGGCCCTCCATTCGTGCTCCCGTCATCCTTTCCCACACCCATCCCGCATCTCCCTTCCCCCGCCCCCCCAACCCTCCTCTGTCAGGCGCCATGCAGCCGTTCCCGCGCCCCCCCAACCCCCCTTCCCCAGGCGCCATGCAGCCGTTCCCGCGCCCCCCCAACCCCCCTTCCCCAGGCGCCATGCAGCCGTTCCCGCGCCCCCCCAACCCCCCTTCCCCAGGCGCCATGCAGCCGTTCCCGCGCCCCCCCAACCCCCCTTCCCCAGGCGCCATGCGCTGCACGCGGCTGCTCGTCCCGTCGCCTTCATTCTTGTTCTCATGTTGCACCCACCTCCTCCCCTTTTCCCCCTGGCTCCCCCCCTCCCCAGGCGCCATCCAGCCCCTGCCATGGGCGGTGCGCATGAAGGTGGCTCTGCACGCGGCGCAGGGCCTGGCTTATCTGCACGAGGAGGCGGACCGGCAGATCATCTACCGCGACTTTAAGGCGTCCAACATTCTGCTGGACGAGGTGCGTGCGTGAAGCGAGTGGTGTAGTAACGAGTACGGGGGAGATTTGTGTGTCTGGAGGCGTATCCACACGAGGAGTTGCTCCTGCATATCATCCTCCCACAACGCAAAACTCTCAATTGCATCTCGATTGGAGAATTTCACATCCATTCCTCGCCCATATGCTCAAATCTCCATGACTCGCCCCACTATTCCCCCCTCTCTCAGGATTTCAACGTGAAGGACGGCCCGGAGGGCAACCAACCTGTCAACCCGAGTCATGGGCCCCCGAGTACATGATGACCGGCCACCTCACAGCCAAGTCGGGAGTTGACAGACACTCATCCCTCCCTCCTTCCCTCTTTCCCTCCTCCCATCCTTCCCCCCTTCACTCCTTCCCTCCACACTGTATCTCTACCTCATCCCCACCTTCAGGACTTCAATGCGAAGCTCTCTGATTTCGGGCTGGCAAAGGACGGCCCCGAGGGCAACCAGACGCACGTGTCAACGCGGGTCATGGGCACATACGGCTACGCCGCCCCCGAGTACATGATGACCGGCCACCTCACCGCCAAGTCAGACGTCTACAGCTTCGGAGTCGTGCTGCTGGAAATGATTAGCGGGCGGCGGGCCATGGAGCCGGAGTTCCCGAGGCGGCAGCAAAATATCGTAGAGTGGGCGCGGCCGTTTTTGGTCGATCCGTCAAAGATGCTGCTATTGGTGGATCCTAGGGTGGGCGGCGAGTATTCGGTGAAGGGTGCGCAGCGGGCGGCGGTTTTGGCGCGCAAGTGCTTGAACAAGGACCCGCACGCGCGGCCACTAATGTCGGAAGCGGTTCGGGTGCTTTCTTCGCTACAGAATTTGACGGATTTTGCGAGTAAGCTGGATCAGGCTCAGCGGCTACACGGTGCTTAGTTGAGTGTTACTTGGTGTGGGAGCCAGAAATCCTTTTACGATGCGACATGAGCAAGATAGAGCTGAATTGAGAACTGAGGTTGGCTCCAGTCAGGAGCTATTGATGCTGTTGCTGGACTAGGTGTGAATCTAACTGCTTGCGTCCTGCGGGCAAAGCAGTTACTCGCTAGTGCACATATGAGCGACCATGTAGGAATGTATAGAAGCTTTGCTTGTTGCAAAGCACCGTAGCTAGAATCCGTTGGTATGTTGCAGTGACCTGGAGCAACCCTAATTTGTATACTGTGCCTCTAGTTAAATGTCTACATTCCCCCCTCTCGAATTGGTATTTCCTTGCATCTTTGCATTCCTGGTGACATGGCATGCTGCCGGTGTGCTATTCCAAGAACAAGCATGCATCTTGCATGCCCTATTTTATTGTTTTCCCAGCGCCCTACATTAGAAAATTTGCGCACATGTCCGTTTGCATATACTAGATGCGTCACATTCTGTTTTTTAATTTGTATTTTTGTTTGCTAACCTCACATGAATACACTGCCACGACGGAACAGTTGAACAATGGCATTAATATACGGTGCACTGCTGTGGCGTACGCTCCGAGTGCTGCCAGTAAAAGATCCTCATGAATCTGCACCTTGTTTTTACTTTCCAGCCCCGGACTAGTGTTTAGTGCAACCCATACCTCGTAGGACAGGATTTAGGGCTTAGTTTACTTGAAAAGCTGGAATTAAGACCCCTCCGAATTCTAAGGAACTTACCGGAAACATCTCTCGACAGGGTTTCCCGAGTTTGATTAAACCTGGCCATAGTGCTTGGGAAGGGACCGGGGCAAGCTGACAAACAGCGGAACTGCCAGTTCTGTGGTTCACGTGACGAGATTCACCGAGGGCCGCTCTCAGCCACTTAGACAGCCCCGAAAGGATGGTATCCTGAAGAACATTTGCAAGGGCAACTGAGCAACCAATCGGAGGAGCATGATGGCTTGTGTGGTGTTCAATTCTCTGCGCTTCGAAAGCGCAGAAAACGATTTTCCACCACATTTTTCCACCCGTAGATAAGACGGGCACGGATGCTTTCCAGTTTCTCGCGTTACAGTTGCGCAGCAATTGCTTTAATCACGTGACGGATCTGAAAGGCACGATTGTACCTCTTTTTTTAGAACAAACGAGGGACGGATTGGCTAGGTTGAAAATTGAAAGGAGTTTTTGGTGACGTTTTTAAAAGCCAGGACGTTAGCTTTATGGCCTTTTAAACCAGTTTCTTGTGATAAGGTCGGAGCAATTCTGACCTAAAATGTTATGACCAGATTTGTCATACCCAATACAGATTCGGTATCCGAATGGCGCTGGCATCTTCACGTGGTCGCAAGCGCTCAGGCAGGACTCAGGGCAGGTCACGAGGATGACGAAAGCTTCACACACCGCCATTTGGGGCTGCCAACAGACACGACAGCCCAGGCTGGCCTGAAACCCTTTCTGTGCACAGATTCGTGTACAGTAGGGTGTAACATCGAATAAGGCAGTGCAATTGGTCTCCCTCACACCCTAAAATTCTGCATCCAGGCCGTTGATCCGGAGGTGTGTGTCCACCCTGGCGCTCTTGCTGCGGCATTCATTTGGAGCTGACCAGGCACTGATGTCATTTCCCACTAGCGCTGGACGCTCGAATGAAACCCTAGCTCATCCAGCGCCTCGGAACTTTCTTCCGCACTTTTTCGCCATATCTTCCCGTTCAGCCCGCGATAAAGCGATATTTTGCTGAACGCCGAATGGATGGCTCAACACTCTGCCTCGCTGGATTGCACTTTTTTGCCCGCCAAAACCGCGTGCTCGTCTGTGGTTGGATATTTTCTCCTCCTCTCCTCCCTTCCCCCGATTCCCTCGAGATTGCATGAAACCATCCCCCTGTCTGCCGGAACGCCTTGTCCGGATTCCCCATCTCGTTCGCTTCTCCTCCGCATCCATTGCTTGTGCAGCTTTCTCTTCCCCAGTCTGCCCTCCCGATTTCCCCCGGTCCCTCATCTTCCTTCCGCAATCACCCCATCTCCCTTTCCCCTTTCTCCTCCCCCAACCAACTCACCTTTTCACTTTCTTCCGCCTCCGTGCTTGCCTGCTTCAGGATAAGGCTGACAGTCTTTCTCTGCCATTCGTTTCTTTGATTCACCAAAACTTCAGCCAGCTAGGAAGTCCTCAGGTCACTTGCTAAACAAAACTGGATCTAGATTGATTCCGTCTGCGGCTTTTTACTCGCGGAGCTCATGTCCTGTTTCGGCCCTAGAATATGCTCGAGATCCGTTGTTACGAAAATCACGTAGAATAACCGTTGACATAGATTTCCGCTACCTGTAGTGACCTAGAACGCGTTAGCAGATGGGTCGTCAGAATAGCAATGGCGGTCGTAGCCGGAAGGATCAACCAGAGGCCGTGGCGCTTTTCCCGCCGATACATGTTAGCCATGCGACAGCGGCGTCGGGCCCTAAGGCACCTCCGCGAAACAAGATGGCACTCTACGAGCAGGTTTCCGTCCCATCGAAGCGATTCCGGCCGTCGCCTCACCCTCTCGGAGGATCCGCTATGAACGCACCCTCAACGTTTCATCCCATGCACAGCGGGGTACGTGGTCCGTGCGAACGATGCTCGCTACTAGCGACGCTCGGTTCCAGCGACGTACGCGGACCGTGTTTTCTAAAAAAAAAAATCGGAAAGTCTTCGACTTGTCCAATTAAGGCCCGAGGTGCTTCGTAGTTAGCTATGTACGAAGTTCAGTTGGAGAAATGATAGTTCTCTGTATCGAGCGAGTCGCCAGCGAGTCTAGCTTGCTTGTATAAGGTCGTAAAAGTTTCTCAGGAGCTTAACTGGGCTCGCTTGATTTCTCATCCTTTCCGTGCTCCTCCTGAATTTATTTTTTTGCTCAATTCTCCTGACCCTTCCTCACTACCCCCTGTTGTGGCCATCCTATCCACAGTCGACGGTCCCGTTGATGCCTCCTAACTACGAGAGTAAATTCTCCTACGCTCCATACGCCGCCCAGCAACAAGCGCAGCAACAGCAGCATCCCACCAACAGCTTCAAAACGCCGCCGCAGGCCGGCAGCATGCTTCAATCCCACTCCGGAATCGCCAGCAGCACGGGAAGCTTTTCCGAAGCCGCCGCCTTTCAAAGCGCCGGCCAGGCTGCCTTGGCCGCCTGCGCCGCGCACAGCGCCGGCGGCGGCGCTGGAACGGCTGCCGCTCGGCACGGCGGCGGAGGCGGAGGAGCAGGCGGCACGGGGAGCATCGTCCAAGGGAGAAGCGCGGGTGCGGGAACGGGAGCGGGAGCGGTGAGCAGCAATAGTAACAGCCACGGTCAGTCGACTCGAAGCGACGCGGATCAATGGGCGTTTTGGGCCTGGCAACAGCGCCACATGCCGTGGGGGAACGGCGCCTCCCCCAGCTCCCCCTCTCCGCCAGTCATGCCGCAAGCTTCCATGTCCCCCGCGAGCGCCGCCGCCGCCGCAGCCGCCGCGATGGCCGCCTTTGCCGGCGCTGGCAACAGCAAGGACGGCAGCACTGGGGCGATGTATCCGCTGCAGGCGCTGACTGCCGCGTCGGGTTTGGGCGGCAGTCGCGGCGACCCGGGTGCGGCGGCGGCTGCTGCGGCGGCCATGGCGGCGGCCGGCGCGGCGTTTTTGAATTACGGAAGCGCATCGCAAGTCGCGGGCATGGGCGCGGGTACGGGCTCGGGCGCAGGCGCGGGCGCAAGTGGCGCAGTACCGCCGCTCACCCCCGGAACGTGGAATGGCGCATCGGCGGAAGGAGGTCTGGCGGGTCTAATGTCCAATTTCAGCTGGCCTGGATCTGGTAACCCGAATGCGTTACTTATGATGAGCCAAGCGCAAATGTTTGGCGGAATGGGCGGATTCGGGGGAAGCTCAGGCGCGGGGTCTCCACCCGACCGCGGGTGTATACACGGAGAAGGGGAGGCATCGGGGCAGCAGCAGCAAGGGCGGAGCCCGTCCGCTGCGGCTGCGCGTTCCGCCGCCAGCGAGAGGCTCGGGCGCCGGCGCGGGGAGGAGCGGAGCAGCCGCGGAGGACCCGCGCGGAGCGGAGTGGACGACGCGCGGAAAGGTGGCTTACGGAAGAGCGCGAGCACGCGGTCCGCGGGGTCCCGGGGTCCAGCGGCCACTGCGCCTGCTGGTGCCATCGGCGGAGGCGGAGGCGGAGGGGCGGGCGGAGGGGGAGCGGTTGGCGCGATGTCGACGACGAGTGGGCGGAGCATGAAGAGCACTATGAAGAGCGGGGCGCGGGGCGCGGTGAAGGGCGGAAAGGGGAAGAAGCGCAAGGAGATGGTGGTTGGTGACGGCGCAGAGATTTTGACACAAGCGCAGCAGGAGCAAGCGCAGGAGCGCGCGGAAGGATCGGCGGGAGCAGCCGCGGAAGCAGCGGAGAGAGCGGGAGTGGGAGCGGGAGCGGGAGCAACAGAGGAGGAGCTATTTCGGGGAATTGAGGTTCTTCGCGCTGCCGCCGTGGCTGCGCGGGAGGAGGAGAGGCGCGCGCGCACCGCAATCGAACATCAGGGAACTGGACTTTGCTGCGCGGATGCGGCGGCGGAGGCTGCAGTGCAGGCGGAAGGGGATGATGACGATGCGCGGATGGTACCTGCGCAGGTGGACGCGGATGAGCGAACGGGGGTGGAGGAAGGAATGGGACTGGCGGAAACGGGCAACAAAGGGGAAAGCTTCGGGGAGCAGCGCGAGGCGCGGGCTCTAGGGCGCTTCCGCGCGGCTGCCGCCGCCGCTGCCGCCGCCGCCGCCGCGGGCGTTGCTGCTGGGTGCGCCAGCTCTTACCATGGCGGGATGGTGGCGACGAGCGAAGGAGTATCACCCCTCCCTGCCGCTGCTGCTGCGCTCCCTTCTCATCCTGCCCCTGCTGCATCCGCCCGTGCCTCTTCTCCCGCTTCTGCTGCCACTGCTGGTGCCGCTTCTCCTGCTGCTGCCGCTGCTGCTTCCGCGGGCGCGGAGGCGGCGGGAGGCATGTTGGCGATGGTGCTGGGAATGGCGGGAGGCGTGGAGGACGAGGAGGAGGAGCGGTTTCGGCGGGAGAGCAGGAAGCGGAGCAGGCGCGCGGAGGAGGGGCGGGGGCTGGGCGCGGGGGAGGCAGACGGGGAGGTCGCAGGGGAGAGCAAGAGGGGGAAGCGGGAGGGAGGGGGGGAGATGTGTATGGGTGATCTGGTTGGTGCGGTGGGGCAGAAGGAGTTTTGGCGCGTGAGAAAGGGCATTGTGCGGCAGCAGCATATCTTCTCCACACAACTGTTTGAGCTTCACCGACTCAACAGGGTGAGATATTATTTCTTGCTGCTTTCTGCCCGTTGTATCTCCGCCGTATCTGTTATTTTCTTTTTCTTTCTTCTATTTTCCACTTCTGTGTCTGTACTAAGGCAGCACTCTCTTTCCCTTCCCCCCTCCCTCTGGACGTTTACAGGTGCAGCAGGGGCTGATGCACCATCCACTGAACGCCAAAAAGTACCAAGAGCATGAAGTTGGAGAGCAGGAGCAGCAGCAGGAGGAGGATCAGCAAGAGCCGCGAGTGCAGGCAGGTCAGCAGCTGGACCAGGACCAGGCGTCACTCCCTGCTGCACCGTGTGCCGATGCTGTCGACAGTTCTGCTGCTGCTGCCGCTGCTGCAGCAGCTGGTGATGGTCTCGACGATACTGCTGCTGCTCCAGTTGGGAGCATTGCGGATGTTTGCCAAGCGCCGTGCCCCAGCCGTCGTACTGGCAGCAGCAGCGGGGCGCGAGGAACTGTCGCTGCCACAGAGAGCGGTTTCCCTGATGTGCTTGAGAAGTCGGCATCAACGGGCGGCAGTGCGGGAGCCACTGCAGCTGTAGAAACACCATTGCTAGCAACAGCAGTTGCAGCAGCAGCAGCAGCGGCAGCAGCAGCGGCAGCAGCAACGGCAGGTGCTAGCATGAAGCCGCCTCCTGCCCGTTCTCCCCACAGCCGCCCACCAGTATCCCCTGCTCCCCGCCTCACCACCATTCCCTCCTTCCCTGCTTTCACCGACGCGCCTGCTGCCGCTGATGCCGGAGCATCTATGTCAGCAGCAGCATCACCAGCGGGAGCAGCCATGCCAGCAGCACCAGTGAGACACGCTCCCTTGGAGTTGTCCGGTAAAGCAGGGACGTCTGGAGCAGCAACAGCTGCCGGCTGGTCTTTCCCTCTTTATGCCCGCTTTGCCAAGAACGCTGATCCTGCTGCTGCTGCAGCTGCGGCTGCTGCTGCCATTGCTGCCGACGCTGCTGGTGCCAAACCTGCTGCCGCGCCTGCTGCACCTTCGGACAACGCCACTGCTGCCCGAGCAACCGCCGTCACCCCAGCCTCGTTCGGGTTCGTGACAGGATCGGAATCTGCTGGGCCTGAAGGCTCGGACGTTTTTGGTTTGAGCTGGGGTACCGTGCCTGACTCGGGGGCTGGGGAAGGGGAGAGGAAGACAAAAGAGGCTGGAGGAAATTCATCAAAGTATGCTGCTATGCTGAGTGCCATGGGCCTCCCTGCTGATTTTACCATGCCTGCCAATCTTGGCGTCCCTGCCAATTTTGGCATGCCTGCTAATTTTGGTATGCCAGGACAAGCAGGCATGGCTGAGGCTATGGGCATGAGCTTTGGCATGGGAATGAACATGAATATGGGGATGGGTATGGGGATGGGTATGGGCATGGATATAAGTGCTGCTGCTGGGGCAGGTGGGTCTGCCAGTGCTGCTGCGACTGCTGCTGCTGGTGCTGGTGGTGGTACCGGTGTTGGTGCTGGGGGTGCAGGTGTGGGTGCATCTGGGGCAGGCCCATCTGGAGCAGGTGCATCTATGATGATGGATATGACAGCCCTGCACATGTACATTGCACAGCAGCACCGCATGCAGCAGCAGCTGCGCCAGCAGCTGTTTCAGCAGCAGCAGCAACAGCAGCTCCTGCTTCAATGCCTAGGGGGGCTTTTTCCTACCTTCCCTCCGGCTGCTGCTGCCATCGCAGCCGCTGCTCCTGCCGCCGGTGCTGCCACCGCTGCGCTCGCTGCTTCGCCTGCTGCTGCTGCTGCAGCAGATGCTTCTGTAGAGGAGCCTGGTTCTCAGGCGAGAGAGGAGGCGTTGCCAAGAGGAGGAGCTGCTGCAAGTGCAGCAGCGTTTGGAAAAAGAAATGGCACAGCAAAGAGATGAAAACGATGATGGATCAAGGCATAAAGATTTGGAGCTGAGCCTTTTCCCTTCTTTTGCGAACACTCGGAACTAGTTCATCGTGTTTATGGTATATCTTACCAGTATACTGCATGTCAGGATTTTTGTGTGCATAGTTTCTGCAAGACAAATGAGATTCTCCTAGAACTAATAAGCTGCTTGGAAAGAAATGGACGTTCACGCATTTTTCCCGCAACATGAGTGGTTCACGTTTCCCGAGTCACGTCACGTGATGCTGCTAAGTCGGGCATGGAACTGCACAGTTCTCTGCACACGCGCGAGAATGCCATTCGTGCACTGTTGACGAGGTGCAAGCACACCTTTTCACATCATATTAACAGGGTAAAGTGCTCCTGCATGGGATAGGTTGGATACCTTCATCATCCGCCTTCTCGACTTCGAGAGTCTAGAGGACTGAACGCGGAGCTGTGCTGTTGACCAGGGGTCTAAATTTCTCAACTGGAGTGGTTTCGCGTGTAAAAGATCGACACAACTGTTCGGTTTATTTCGGGGTACTTCTACGCAGAGCACTTCAATGCTCCATAGAATCTGTTCCGAACCCACGTCGGTAGTAGCAGGACAATCATGTTTTCCGCTTCGCTTTCTCGAGCTGTCACGTGACGAATAAACTGTTTGCCCCTCATTCAAAGAAAAATATCCTGCTGCTTTTCACGCGCGATGACGTGGCGGAAGTATTGCTTCACTGAATAAGATCCGCACTCCGCCATTGCTATGCATCTCGCGTACACTGTTTGGTCACCATCACCGTCGATGCCAGCGCCGCGGACACGCAGGCAGTTGAGATGAGCTGAACCGTTGAGGCCTCCCATGGTCTCGGAACGCTGTGAAGTGCATTGTCAGATGAACGGCCTACGGTGCAGTTCTGGATGAGCGAGAAGCCATTGCCTACCATTCCCAGTTACGGCCCCCACATCACACGAATCGCAACGGGCCATCCAATCAGAGCTAGGGTCACTGCAGCCCTTGAAACCTTAGCGGATTTGACGGTCCTAGTCGAGCCACTACTTCAGGAACCTAGAGCACGTAATGGTTAACCAATATGAGATCGCCATGTGGGCATCTTTGCAGGCCGTTGAACGGTAAGCCTGCCCTTGGAAGAATTGTCGTCAGTGTCTGTCCTTGATTCTGCTCCTCGTTCTGTGCTGCCCAACAAGGCCGTGGCGACGAGCTGGTCTGGACGAACCCAAAGGACGCTGTTGGTTGGCGGACGAGGCTTGTGGCGAAAGGTTTGCAGTTTTGTGACTTTCTATCCAGTGCAGATCCCGAGCCTACGAAACAAATCACAAACTGGGGAAGTTTCGAGACCGAGGGATCCTGCCCGAAACACAAACGTTTCCATGTTTTTTCTTTGCCGAGTACATGTAGTGTTTGGTCCACTTCCGAAGTTCCCATATCCACAAACGCCCACGACGTTTTCAAGCGTTTCACGACTGACAGCATATACTTTTAGCAAAGTTCAACTACTTAGTTACACATCAAGGATGTACAGATCAAATAGAAACACCCTGGACTTGGGGGATAGAATCCGCTGCTTGTGGACCTCTCGTCGTCTCTCACGGGCACCTCCTGTACCCGTCATCCCCAACTCCGAGGAGATAACGCCATGGATTTTCCGTCACTCCATCAGTCACGGATATTCATTCAGTATCACACGCCAACAGAGCTGATAGTTTGGTTGGTAGCCTGGCCTGGTTGTCCTTCTGTTCTATCTGCTTCAGACTAGCTCCGCTGATAGAAGTACGCACCCTCCCTATTTCTCAGCTCAGTTAGCACGTGTGAAACCGATCGCGAGTTCTCGACAGCTGGTATAGCTCCACGCTCTTCGCTTATCTTAGTGATCGGCGAATTCAGTGGCCTTCAGCCGCTCTTGATCACCATTGTACAGTCGCTCTGAATTTCCATCTTACAATTACTCAGGCTCAGCGTATAACAGCCGGCCAGTCACGCTCGCCGTCTAACAGCCCACCGGTCACGGTCACCGTTTGCGACCATGGCGACGAGAGTGTCGCTCCTACCGGTCACGTCCCGCGCGTTATCTCTCGACCCTCCGAATTCGTCCAAGCGCGAGGTTAAATTCGGCGGCGGATTTCCTCATCCCCTTGACAACGCCGCAGGGACAGACGGGCTCCGGCAAGGCCTGGGAACGACTTATACCGAAACCCGAGGCGTTCATAACCAGAGCGGGAAAGGAGATGCGGGGGGGACCGCTAGTGGTAGCGGAGCTTTCAGCAGCCTAACCGGGGGTCTCCTTAACGGGGTCGGAGGCGGCACGGGAAACGCTCCCGGTGAGGGAGGTCGATCGGACGCGTGGTCGACGCTTCTTAGCCTGCCACGTCAGCCGCAGCAGAGCAGTCTCGGCCTTAATTTCTCACAGGGGCTTTCGTTCTCCCCTGCACCGTCCCCCACGGCCATGGGCCTCTCGCACGGGCTCTCCTTCACTCCCGCCGCCCCGCCCACGGCCGTAGCGCGATCGTCGTCCCACGGGCTTTCGTTCTCCCCTGCACCGTCTCCCACGGCCATGGGCCTTTCCTTCACTCCCGCAGCGCATCCCACGCCCGTACCGCGATCGTCGTCCCACCACCACCTCAGTCAAAGCCACAGCAAGAATCACAGTCAGAATCACAGTCACAACTACAGTTACAGTCACAGTAACGGTCAAAGCCCCAGCCACAGCACCAGTAGCACCCCGCCAGGAAGTGTTGGTGGCGGTAACGGTGGTGGCGGCGGCGGCGGCAGCCGCGGCGGTAACTGGCCGATGTTCCGCGGGTTGGCGGCGCGACACGCGTCCGCCGACTCGCTCCTGTCGCTCGCTTCGTCCGAAACTAGCAGCCTCGCGTCCTTCGCGACCGCGTCGGACCGCTTGGTCGAGCAGGAGATTAATCGGCGCGCCGCGTTAGACTTCGTCACGGAGCTTGCCGGCCCGCTGCAGCCCCCCAGCTCCCCCGCGCATTCCCTTTCGGGGGAGCGCACCCCGCCCGCTGGCGCAACCCTCGGCGCAACCTTCGGCGCAAATCCCGGCGGAGCCTTAGCCTCTGGCGCAGCGCTTCTGAGCGCAAGCCTTAGCGGGGACTTGCCGATTACCGCCAATGAGCTCCCCGTGGCGGTGTTTGCGGTCGACCGTGACCTGGTGTGCGCGCTTTGGAACAGGCGCATGGCGGAACTGACCGGATGGGCGGAAGGGGAAATCATGCGCCTGGGTCGATTCGCGGAAGGTCGGTTCGCGGAGCGGCTCTTCCGCCCCGCCAGCGCTTCCGCGCCGTTCCGCCGATGCGAGGACGTTCTCCGCGCCGCGCTCTTTGGCCGCGATATAGTCACGGCGGAGTTGCTGCTACTGAAGCGCGGAGGCAGCTGCGCGCGCGTGCGGCTATTCGCCAGCGCGCGCACCGATGCGCTCGGAGCAGTTTGCGGCGCGATTTGCGCCGTCATTCCCGCGTCTTCGGGAAGCGGGGGTGGATCGGCGGCCGCGCTGAGCGCAGCTTCCGCGCATGGTTTCGACGTGGACGGCGGTGGCGGAGGCGGAGGCGGAGGCGGCTTGCCGCCATTTCCGCCGTCGTTTGCGGCGGGCGAAACCGAGGAATGGCTGCAGCGGAACGCGTCGGCGGGGAGTCTGTACGGCATGCACTCCGTGGACGAGGAATCCGTTGGCGGTGAGTGGTGGTGAGGGGCGGTGAGGGGCGGTGCGTCACTTTTAGTCCCCGCTCTTTGTGATAACAAGGCTCCTTTCCATTCCCAATTCTAGTCAATTCGAGGGCGTAATGAGCCACTTATAGTCTGCCAGCTCTCTTAACCGCCCTCTCAACCGCCCTCCACCCCTCTTCACCTCTCTATCTCTCTCCCGACCAGACGACAGCGACGCGGCCAGCAGCTGCAGCGATCTCTACCAGCTCGGCTCCGCCCCGTTCGGTAGCAGCGCCAGTTGCGGCGGCAATCCCGGCGGCTCCAGGCGCCACGTCATGGAGCCCGTCTCCTCCAGCAGGCGCGCGAGCGGCGGCGGCGGCGGGGGGGGGGGATTGCGTGGAGGTATCGCAAGCGCGGGGAGTGCAGTCGCGGGCCATGACGCGGGCGCAGGCGGGACAGTGGGGGTAACTGGGCGGCTTTCGTCGTCGTCTTCTGAGCGACAGCTGTCGGGGAGGCTTTCATTGGGGGAAAGCGAAGCTGCGACCGAATCAGGGGCGGCAGGAGGAGCGGGAGGAGCGGGAGGAGCGGGAGGGGCGGGTGAAGCGGGAGAAGCAGCTTTGGCTTTGACTCCGCCAGCTACGCCGCCAGCTGCGGCGCCTGTTGCGCCGCCCGTTGCGGTTCCAGTTGCGGCGGCGTTGCCTTCCCCTGTCAACGCGCCCGCTCTCGTTGGTTCAGGCGCGGAAGGCGTGGGCGGAGGCCTGGGGGGGATTGGGGGCGGAGGCGGGGGGGGTCATTTAAAGCCCGTACAGACGAAATTAGCTATCCGACGCTCGTGCGAGCTGCCGAAATATGGTGCGTTGCTGTTCCAGTGTCCTTATATCGAAGCTCCTGTGCCATACGCGTTTGCAGCCCTTTCGACTTGCTGTTGCCAGGTCTCTTAACCGTTTGCCTTACCCCCTGTTCCCCCCCCCGGTTCCCTTCCTCCAACTCCCCCTCTTCCCCTTGTTGTCCGGGCGATTTTCTTGCAGCTTATTCCTCTCTCACGGGCATGCGTCGCAATATCAGCAGTGATGCTCTCAATAACGCGGACACCTCCCCATCCCACCACCACCACCACTCCCACCGCTCAGCATTCTCCTTCCAACCCCCCTCTCACACTTCCAACCACCCCACTCCCACTCTCCCCTTCTCCTCCTCCCTCTCCCGCCCGCTCACCTCCCGGCCTTACCCCTCCTCCTCTTCCTCCTCCCTCTCCTCCGCCTTCTCCCACTCCTCCTCGCACTCCTCCTCCCCAAGCGTCGCCTCCTCATCCTCGTTAGTGCGTGCTCTGATAGCAGACGGAGTGACCACGGGGCGCAACGACCTGGCGCACCAGCTGGAGCGCTGCGCGTTTGACGTGGTCAGTGCCACGTCAGTGCAGGAAGCTGCGTGGAAATACGAGCAGACCGCTCTCCACGGCACTCTCCCTCCCGCTGCCGCCGCCGCCGCCGCCGCTGCTGCTGCTGCTCCTCCTGCTTCTGCTGGCGCAGCTGCTACCACCGGTGCCACAACCCCTCTCTCGCACAACACCCCTGCTGCTGCTGCTGCTGCCACCGGTGTTTCTCCTGCTGCTGCTGCTGCTGGGGGTGGTAGTGGGAGTGGGGGAGTGCTGTTCTCTCTCGTGGTCCTAGATCTAGAGCAGGCGACGAGCAGGGCGGGGCAGGCGGCCATTCGGGACATCAGGCGTGCAGAACGAGCACTGCTGTCCCGCCGCCTCACTCTCGGCACCCCCACACCTGTTGGCACTTCCGGCGCTGCTGCTGCTGGCGGTGCTGCTGCTGGGTTTGCTGGGGCTGGGGCTGGGGCCTCTGTTGGTGGTGGAATTGCTGGTGCTGACGGGGGCATGCGGTCGTTGGGAGGGCTTAAGGTGCTGAGTGAAGAGGGCGAGGAGGACGAGGGGAGGAGTGAGGAGGGGAGGAGTGAGGTGAGCGAGAGTGGGAAGCAGCAAGCGGAGGGGGAACAGGAGACGGTGCAGCCACAAGAACAAGAGACAGTGGAACCCTCTTCCTCCTCTGCTGCTTCTGCTGCCGCTCCTGCTGCTCCTGCTGCTGCTCCTGCTGATGCTGCAGCAGCTGCTGCATCCTCCCCCGATCGCACGCTGATAGTGGTGGTGGCCGATCTTAGCCGGTACGACCAGGTGGGGCTGGATGCGGCAATGGAGCAGTGTGTGCTCGCGGGTGTAGACGCGTTTATTCCGCGCTCCATGCACCTGCAGCAGCTGAGAACGGCCCTCAGGAGGCTCGGGCTGCACAGTAAATATCTCGTGCTGCCCGCCTCGCTGCCCCGCGCGCATTCTGCTGCGAATGTTGCTGGTGTTGCTGTCAGTGCTGGTGTTGGTGCTGGTGTTGGTGCAGGTGCTGGTATGGGAGTGGGTGCGGGTGGTGGGATGAGTGGGTTGCATTATGGTGTTGCATCATCGCACCATTTGTATGGTCACCAAGGTGCACATTTGTTACGATGATTCCTTGGCGCATTACTTCTAATTGATTTGGGGTGTGATTTGCAGCGCTACCTACTTGCAGGATGGATCATCCATTTCTAGTTGCTGGTTCTAATTATGTAACATAACCATTGATGCAGTTACTGTTCTATTTTTTCAAATACGAGTTTTTGCGTTGTATAATGCATTTTCACGTACCCCAAAAAATAATGACACCCTATTTTGGCACAGCTCGCGTATGTCTGCTGCTGGAGTTCGACTCACAATTTAGCAGAGGATCCTCGTTTGACCAGTCAGACGATTGACTGATATGAGCGCACGGTGTTCCAATCAAGTAGCTATTGCCGTACAGCACTTCTCCGCCGCGCAATCACAGCTATTTGATCTGCGGCGTCAGCTAGGCGCATGGACTGAGGTGGCGTCGACAGTTCGCATCGCGTTGGTTGCGGACAATCGAGCACTCGAGGAGTCAGACCAATTGAAGCGAGAGAGAGCCAAGCAGCCGAAGTTTGCTCACTGGCTCATCTGATTTTCATTCGTGCACGTTGATCCGCTCTTTTGTGATCGACTAGGTAGAACTGCTCAGTTTGTCGGTCATTGTTGCGAAGTAGTCAACGATAGTCAAGCCAACGCGGCTGTCCATGGAGTGAGGTGGCGACGATGAGGACCTCTCTCTCTTCGACAGTCCACGATAGTCAACGGCAGTTGACGAAATAGTCAACGAAAGTCAACGATATTCAACGAGGTACGTAGCTAATGGAGTGGGGTGGCGACGATGAGGATCTCTCTCTCTTCGACGCAGACGACGACGATTTCCGCGAAGCTGCCGAAGTGCGGCCGGCCCTCCTTTCCTCGATCGCGCGGCCGGCTGCGGCCTCCGCGCAGCCCGCCGCCGCAACTCCCGCCGCACCCCTCGCCGTGACTCCCGCCGCGAATCTCGCCGCTCTGCCCGTTCTGGCGATTTCCAAACCAGCCCAACCGCCGAAATCCGAGTCTATTCCCGAGGCTGCTCCGAAGCTAATTGACAGTCAGGATCGGGTCGGGGAGGCTCGGATTGGAGAGGATCGGATTGGGAAGGGTGAGATTGGCGGAGCAGGCGGAACAGGCGGAGGAGAAGCGGAGGAAGGTGGGGGAAGGGAGGGGGAAAGCGATGCAGTGGGGGAGAGTGCGATTGGAAGGGATGCAGGGGAGGATGAAACGGACGAAGAGGGCGGTGGAAGGGAAGAGACCGGGCTGGATGGAGAAGAGGAGGCGAGTGAGATGTCGCACGTGGGATCTGCTAACGAAGGCTCTCCTAACGGGGCTGCTGCTACTAACGAGGGGTCTACTAATGAGGATGAATCGGAGCAGGAAACGGGCGGGCGGGAAGGAGAAGAGGAGAGTGAGACGAATGCCATAGGCGCAGTGGGGGGAGGAGGAGCTGGGGGAACAGCAGGAGGAGCAGGAGGAGCAGGGGGGACTGGGGGGCAAGGTCAGGGGGGTCAGCGGGCAGAGGGCGGGAAAAAGAAGAAGAAGAAGGGGAAGGGGAAAGGGAGAGGGCAGAACGCTGGTCCTGCTGCCGCAGCAGCACAGAATACAGACGCAGGCATAGATTCGGCACGACCGAATGACGCCACAACAGGCATTTCCGGTGCAGGGGGAAATCTCCCCACAGCAGGGATTTCCGGCACTGCGGGACAGTCGGGAATCCCCCGCACAGCGGGGATTTCCTCAACAGCCCCAGATGCAGGTTCCCTAAAGGAAGCATTGCAGAAGCAGGTAGATGAGTTGAAGGCTGCTTTGGCCCGGGAAACGGATGCTAGAGTTGCAGCAGAGGAGCAGGCGAAACGGGCAGAAAGAAAGGCTTCTTGCGCAGTAGAAGAAGCTGCCCGGGCGGCGGACGGGCAGCGGCGGGCAGAGGCTGAACGGGCAGAGATGGAAAGGACGAAAGTGGAGATGTTGAAAAAGCTGCGGCATATAGTAGAGGAGGCAGTGAAGAGAAAGAAAGAAGCAGAGGAGGAGAAAGCTGTTGCCGAAGCTGCTGCCGCAGCTGCGGTGAAGGATCGGAACGAGGCTCGGAAGGAGCGGGACGAGGCTCGGGGAGAGAGGGACGGGGCTGTGCAGGAGAAAGAGAGAGCGGTTCGGGAGAGAGAAGCGGCTATAAGTAAACTGGAGAGGCTTATAAAGGAGCGGGACGGAGCGATAAGGGAGCGGGAAAGTGCGGTGAAAGAGATTACGAAACGGTTGAGTGGTGAGAGGGATGCAGCGGTTAAGGAGAGAGAGGTGGCTGTGTTACAGAGGGGGGCGGCTGTGAGGCATGTGGAAGCGGTGGAGGGGAGTGTGCGGCGTGCTGTGGGGAGATTGGGGAGGGAAGCGGAGCGGATTGAGAAGATGTTTGAAGGGATGTTTGGTGGGAAGATGGGGCATGGGAGGGTGGGTGATGGGAGGATGGGTGATGGGAAGAGGAGTGAGGGAGAGGTGGAGGGAAGCAGTGGTGGTGGTGGTGGAGTGAGGGACACTGGCAGCGGCACTGGTAAGGGGGAAAGTACCACTGACGATGCTAGCCCTGCTAAACCAGCAGCAGCAGCAGTGGGAGCAGCAGCATCAGCAAAAGCGTCAGCAGGAGATGAAGAAGACGTGGTTGGAAGGTTTGAAGCAGGAGTGCAGAGGGTTTCAGCTGTTTTCGAGCTTGCAGCTAAGTCAGTGCGACGGCAGAGAGAAGAGATGGAAGAAAGAGCAGTTACAATGGCCGTGGAGGTATCTCAATTAGAATCTGATGTTGTTGATGCAAAGAGGGAGGTTGAGAGAGTGAGAAAGGAAGGGGAGGAGGAGGTGGAGCGAGTGAGAAAGGAGGGGGAGAGGAGGGTTGAGGAGGGGAGGGTGGAGGGGGAGAGGTGGAGGGCGGCTGCTGAGGAGGCGGAGAGGAGAGTGAGGGAGGATGAGGAGGAGAGGAGGAGGGAGAGGGGGAGGTTGGAGGAGTTGGAGAGGGTGCGAGGGGAGTTGGAGCGGTTGAGAGAGAGGGTTGGGAGGAGTGGAAAGTCTAACAGTGCAGACGGAGGGGGGGTAAAGGGTGGGGAAGGGAAGGAAGGGAAGGAGGACACGGAAGGGAATGAAGGGAGGGAAGGGGAGGAGGAGGAAGGGAGGGAGGGAGGTGTGGAGGAGATTAAGTGGGTGGAGAGGCGGTTAGAGGAGGCAGAGAGAACTGTGAGCGATTGGAAGAGCAAGGAGAGAGAAGCACAGAGCCGTGCCGTTGGTGCTGAAACGAAGCTGGCAGCCAGGGTGAGTGCTTGTGTGAAATCTGTATTGAAAGCATTTTTTTTGCTTGTACCGATCCCAACCACTTTGTATCCCCTTGTTTGGGTTTCTCCAACCTTATTTCCATGTCTGTTCTTTCTGTTTGCGGGTGTATGGTGCAGGAAAGGGAGATAGAGCTGCTGCAGCGGCATGTGGAGGTGGAGAGGAGGGAGAGGAAGGAGGTGATGGAAAAGAGCAGGTGAGGGAGAGAAGAAGGGTGGGTTAGGGTTTCAAGAGGTGCAGGGAGGTGAACAGGAGTGGAAGGAGGGGATGAGTAAGGCCAGGTGAAGACACACAAAAGGAGTGGGTCGAGGTCTAGAGGAGATGGAAGGGGTGAATTTCGAGGGTATTGCATCAAAGATACCCCACTCTTGGAAGAAACCGAATGGAAGAATTAGTGAATGCAAAATGAACTGCACCAAGGTTCATGTGGTTCGAATGCTTTGTGGTTTTTAGAACACGCCCTTAACCCCGCACCCAACCCCCATACGCCCCTCTATCCTCCCCTCCTTGATCCCCCCAGAAATGAGTTGCAGCAGGCGGAAGGGGCATTGCGCAAGGAAAGGGGAGCTTTGAGGCGACTGAGAGAGGCGTTGGAGGGGCGATCGCACCTTACTCCCCTTCCCACCCACCCTTCCACCCGTCCACCCGTCCCCCCCTCCCCCTTCCTCGCCCTCCCACCCGCCCCTCCCTCGCCCCCTGTGTTTCTCTTCCCCCCAGGCATGAGCTGCAGCAGGGGGAAGGGGCATTGCGCAAGGAGAGGGAAGCTGGGAGGCGATTGAAAGAGGCATTGGAGGGGTTGCAGAGGGAGGGGGCGAGGGCGACAGAGCAGGTGAGCGTGGGAGAGGAGGTGGTGGGGGGGAGAGATGGGCGAAAGAGGGCCAGACGAAGGAAGGAGAGGGATGCGAGCAGGTGACAGAGAGTTTCACTTTTTAGGCGCCTCAAAAGTCGAAGGAAGGAGAGGGATGCGAGCAGGTGACAGAGAGTGACGTTGGAGAGTTTGCAGAGGGAGGGGGTGAGAGCGGCAGAGCAGGTGAGCGTTGTGGGAAAAGGGGCGTTGGGAGGGGGAGTTAAGAGGGAGAGTAGAGCGCTAAGGGACTTTTGACGACTCAGACAACAATAAGAATATTTGACAAGTGTCCCCCAATGCAACCTCCCCAACCAACCCCACACCCACTCTCAGATCGCGGCACTCCAGGCCAGTCAGTCTATCAGAGCGCAAGGCGGAAGCGGGCAGATGGCGAGAGGCGGCTAAGGAGGTGGGAGGTTCAGGCCACATACTCTCCCCATCCCCTCACCCTTCCCCCCTGCCCCGCTCCCCCCCACACCCACTCTCAGATCGCGGCACTCCAGGCAAGTCTGGCTGAGTGTGAGGCGGAGGCGGGTAGATGGCGAGAGGCGACTAAGGAGGAGGCAGCAGCGGGGCACAGCCTGATTTCCGCCCTCTGCCCCACCCTTCTCCTGCCCCTCTCCCCCACACAACTGCTTTCAGATCGCGGCACTCCAGGCGAGTTTATCTGAGTGTGAGGCGGAGGCGGGCAGATGGCGAGAGGCGGCCAAGGAGGAGGCAGCAGTGGGGAGTGCTGTGGCTGAAGAGATGGAGGAGATGCGCGGACAGGTGAGGGGAGAGGGGTGGGGGGGTGAGCATAGAAGCGTAAGGGTGAAGTTATTTTGCAAGAAGGGGCAGGAGTGGGAGGGCATTACACACGCGAGGCCAAGGAGGAGGCAGCAGCGGGCAGTGCAGTGGCTGAAGAGATGGAGGAAATGCGCGGGCAGGTGAGGGGAGAGGGGTGGGGTGGAAGAGCGAAGAGGGGTAGGGGTGAAGTTGTTTTGCAAGAAGGGGGTGGTGGTGGGAGGGACAATACACATGGCGCAGGGAGGCCAAGGAGGAGGCAGCAGCGGGCAGTGCAGTGGCGGGAGAGATGGAGGAGATGCGCGGGCAGGTGATAGAAGGGGGTCGAATAAGTGTCCTGGGGGATCAAGTAGCCGTCCTGGGGGGTGAAGTAACACACACGCACTCACTCATTCATGCACAACCGCATTCAACTCCTCCCAGATCCCCTCCTTCAGCTCTTGAGGGTGAATCAGAGAAGTGGCAGAGGGCAGCAGAGGAGGCGCAAGCCATTCGCACTCAACCGCATTCAACTGCTCCCAAATTTCCTCAAACCCCCTCCTACAGCTTCTTACATTGGAGGGCGAGGCAAAGAGGGCAGCAGAGGAGGCACAAGCCATCGCACTCAACCACCTCCTCCCATATTCAACTCCCCCAAATCCCCTCCTACAGCTTCTTACATTGGAGGGTGAAGCCGAGAAATGGCAGAGGGCAGCAGAGGAAGCACAAGCCATGCTGACATCACGCGATGAGCTGGCATCAGCAGCAGTTGCCGCCCGGGAAGCAGCAGAGCGGTCACTCCGGGCGGCAGACAGGCGGGTGGCGGAGCTGCGTGAACGAGTGGAGGAGTTGCAGCAGCAGCTAGAGGACGAAACAACCCACCGTAGCGGAGCGAGGGGGGCTGAAAACGCAGGTAGGGGATGGGGGTTGAGTGGAGTGTGGGGGCCAGGAGGGGAGAGGGGGGGAGGGAGTGTGTTGGGGAGTGGGCAAGGGGGAGGGGTGGCTAGTAGGCTGTGCTGCTGTTGGCCATGGTTGTCAGTGGGAAGAGGGAGAGGGAGAGGAGTGAGTGGGGAGTCAGGAGGAAGAGATGCGGATGATGATGAAGGTAATGCTTTGGAACAGCTAATGGTGCCACTTGTTTGAATTAGTTCAAGATGCTGCATAGTACAAAAAATGTACATTTTGCTATTGTTTGAAGCTGCATGACAACCACAAAACAAGAGTGATCTAGACTGGTAGCAAGGTTGCTACTCAGAAGAACCCAGTATTTGCATTAGCTTTCACTACGGATACCAATCTCCTACAGGCAGAACATTACATTTATGTACAAAAGTTACATGTAATTAGAACCCCAGACGTGCCCAGCTGAGCAGAGAACCAATGAACAGCCCCACCACGAGAAACACCACCATCACCATACCAGCCGATTCAGCTCGGTCCCGAGGCACCTGGTTCGGAGCAGCCATCATAAGCAGGCTCGTCAACAGCCCGTTAGAAAACCCAAACGCCCCTGTAACAGCAGCAATAATGACCTCATGCCGAGCCCATAGGGGGCCCCACCACACACAGAGGGGGTAAAGAACGTAAAACCCCCCTCTCGCCAGTACTAGAGCCACTAACACCTTCAAATCCGTCACCAGGAACACTACCGGCGCCATTTTCCCAAAGAAATCGAACACGTTGTACATGCCTATAAGGAGGATGGGGTACCACGAGCCGAGCGCGTCAGACTGGAGCTCCGCTATAAACCCCGGAAAGATAGAAAGCGTGACTATGTACACTATTGAAAGCGAAACCGCGTACGGCCAGATCTGCTGCATGACCTCCCACTGCTGGCGGTATATCGAGGGAGCGGAGTCGACTATAGAGGGTACGTGTACGTGGAGGGAAAAAGCCCGGCCTTCAGCTAACATGGCTTCTTCAGAGCGAAAGGTGTGCTCCCACCAGGACACCACACGATCCCACACCCGCCTCCTTGCCTTGCCCGTACCATGAGAGTACCTGCCCTTGCTGGTCGCCTGACTGTGACTCTGTGCATACGCAAGAGCATACTCTACCTTATCGCCTTGACAGACTCCGTGTTCTGAACTTTTTTCACCTTCCCTTTCCCCTTCTATCTCTGCTATCTCGCTGCTGCTGGCGCTACACCCATCCATCAGCGGAGCACCATCAGCCACCGACTCTGCTTCTGCTCCTGCTTCTCTTACTGTCACTGCTGCTCCTGCCCCTGCTGCTCCTGCTCCTGCTGCTCCTGTTCCTGCTGCTCCTGCTCCTTCTCCTTCTCCTTCTGCGCCTGAAACGTCCCGCGCGCGCTCCTGCTCCCACCATTCCGCCTCGTCTTCAATCTGCAGCAGCTGCCGAATCACTTGCTCCTCCTCTATCGTCGCCTCTCGCTTCACCAACGGCTCTAAAGCCTCGTCCTCACTTGCCAAACCCCCCTCCGCAGCAACCTCCCCCTCCGCTTCTCCTTCCCCCTCTCCTTCCCTTTCTTCCGCCTGTCTGTCCGCCCCCACACTCTCCCCCACGCGCCCCTCCCCAGCATGTCCTTTCCCCGCCCCTGTTCTCTCCCCCTTCCCGCTCCCACCATGGCAGATTGCCTTGGCTGCAACAGCGCCCGAGCCAGGCCCGGATTGCCAAGCCTCCTTCCGAGCCTTGTCCCGGGCCCGGCGCTCAGCCTCGGCGAGCGCGGCGACCTGGGATTGGAGGAAGACGATGACGGGGAGCGAGTGCAGGCGGCGGAAGGCGAGGAGGCAGACGACCAGGATGAGCGCGGAGAGCAGGAAGTAGAGATGCGCGGAGAGACGCAGGCCCGTGGGGGTGTTGGGGAGAACTGCCTTGGTTAAGATGCGCACTACGGACACCACGATGCCTGCAAGTGATAACGGGTGGGGCAAACAGGAACGGGAGCGAGAACACAGGTACGTGTCAAGGAGAAGGGTTGTGGAGAGAAAGGGGGGCTAGGAGAACGGGCATATGTTCACGCCAGGAGGCGAAAACGGATCATGAAGGAGGGCCGGACCGAACAGGACCGAGCCCGACCGAATCCAGCTGAGAGTGACCGCATTGTGAGTGGACAGGTCGGCAGGGAGGCACGGCAGGAGGGGGCAGCGGGTCAGCCGAAGCCAACCCACCACCCGCAACCTGCGCCTGACCGCACAAACGACCTGCCCAGTCAGTCCATGTGGCGCCAAAGTCAAACTCGCATGGCGAAGTGGCGGAACGCCGAGCCAAACGAGTAATCAGTATGATGGCGCAGCGGCAGATGAACCACTCGGTTTGTCGCATGCTGCTTCGTCATGTATCTGAAATGCCAGTAGCGTCTCACCTGAAACGCCGGTCGCGTCACAACATACCTGAAACACTAGTCCCGGCAGCGAGGGCTTGCGTGTACCGCTCGTGTAGCTCGCCCGCCATGCCGAACAGGCTCCCCTGCACCACCGCATCTATCGCCCCCGACGCCGCAACCGCCGCGACTGTCATTGCCAGCGCCAGCGGCGACGACGCGGCGGATCTACCGGCCACGTCGGGGCTGTCCGTGTCTTGGAGGGCGTTGGGAGAGGTGGCGCCAGGAGCGGAAAGAGCGTCAAGCGCAGGGACGAGGAGGACGAGGAGAGTGAATGCGATGAAGCCGTGGACGATGCGCGTGCGAGAGGGGACATGCTGGCCGTACCTAAGATTGGAAAGGAAAAGAGCAAAAATCGATTTTTCATATATAGACTAAAAAAAAAAAAAAAAAAAAAAAACAAAACTGTCAGAAAGTACGGGGAAAACGAGCTGAGAGTGTTGCCGCTTACTCACAATAGAACGAGAATTAGAGTGCCGAGGTTGGCGAACATGTACGCGACACAAAACAGCGTCGCGACGTGGGCCGTCGGATAGAGCAGGTAGAAGTAATCAACGGCTGTGATGAAGGCATTCCACGGGAGGAGAAAGCCGACGCCCAGCAGCAGGAAGATGAAATAGGCGAGGTAAAACCGGTCAGGCGGAGCCACATTAGAGACCGGGATATGGTCCGCCATGAGACGATCCGTCAGCATATTCGGGAGTTTTATGATGAAACTGGATCAATCCGCGCGTCCAGACAGCATGATAGCAGTCGGAGCCCTGGCAATCTGGGAAGAGGTATCTGAATTGGCTGAATCAGCGCATCTGGCGGCGGTTCATTGAACAGGAGGAGGAAAGGATATCCGAGCAAAACACATCAGGGAGGCAAGTGTGTTCAAATACAACTCTTCATGACGTGGTCACATGTTATCCTTCACAAAACTGCTCTGCTAATGACACTAATGCACATGTGAAGCAGATCACAAGACACCATTTCTTGGAGGAAGCAAGCAGCAGCACATCTTTCTGCCATGGAGTCCATGGACTGAACACAGCTCTCTGAACTGAACACCACTTCAGGGAAGAACACAGCTCAGATCCCACCACCTCCACCACCGGACTTCGTCATTCAGGAAAGATCAAACGGTTGAGCAGAGACGCATTGTCATGTCGTCGATTGAACGGTACAGATTCTGAATTTCAGGCTAACATTGAAGCCAATCAGCAGCCATTGTGTGTGTCGCCTGCTCTATCAGCCCGCCATCGATCGCCACGCCACTATCACCTCGGCCTGATCGGTGGCCCAAGCTACTGTAATCAACGCCACATGTGCTTTGACGAAGGAGCTTCACACGTGTAAGATTGCTTCAGCCAGTAACAATCGTTATGCGTATATAACATCCATCCAGTGATAACATGCGCGGTGAGGTGGCACACACAGGTGACACTAAGCACCATACAGATTGACGCGTTTGGTGGTTGTAGAAAGTCTCATTGACGTGTCAGACACTGATTTGTCAATCGGGTGAAGCGGCAGGTGGTGAAGCCTTGAATTCTTGTGCACTACTAGTCATGCGGAGAGAGGTGTGGTGGAGAGAGGTTTGGTAGGTCATGTCACGGATGCCATAACTTTCCCACTCCTAAATAAATAAATATTCGAAGTTTTAGAATCAGCCATGTGGGACAAATGGATGTTGGGTAAATATGCTCATGCATGGGAGAAGGATCAACATGTGGATACAAGGATTTTAAAACCACAAATATTTAAAGCCAAAATATATAACTTCACACAACAAACAAACACACTCCGGCAAGACCTTATATCACACTAATTCTCCACTTGATGGTGCGGCAACTCCTAGGTCCTGTCGTAAACCTGCAGCCATGGCCAAACGTGGCCTCGGAATCACTACCGGTACTACACTCCAAGCTGATGCACTCTAAAGCCTGCACACAAAACACACTATGGGGTGAATGGGCCCCGACAATCTATGTATACACACACTCGAGGCCCTCGCACACCGCACACCTAATCTAAGAGGGGTCCTCCTCACAATCAATCCAATCAGCCTAGTCTAAGACGGGATTCAGCCGAACCCCGAGTCAGTAACGCAGTGCACGGCACTTCCTGCGATCGCCGCAGTATTACGGCTCAAGTCGCCAGTCCGAATGGTAACCACCGTACTGCCTGATGAGACTGCGACAACAAGAACTGAGCACGCCGCGAAGCTGTTGCGCGCCGTGCAGATGAGACACGTCATCAACGGTGGTGAGGAATTGGCTCCCGACGGGGAGAAGAATTGCGGCCGCAAGGCCATATTTACATGTTTCGACACGTCGTGACTCCTGATTGGAGCAGAAGCTCAGGTAATAGGAGCCACGATACACTTTACAAGCCGGCGACGCAATACAGCGCGTCGGTTGTAGGCTTTTGCTCGGAAGCGGGCAGCCGCCAGACATCCATGCACTGGGAGACTCTTTCGGCACAGTCCTTAGCGTACTGCGCACGCAACCGTTGGCTCTCAGCCCGTCGCCGAATCCGCTGCTTAGAGTACTCGACGAAGTAGGTCTGGTTCTCCTTCTCCAAAGCTTTCCACACTGCCAATAGGTAAAGGGGTTAAACGTAAAACGGAGAAAAGAGTTAGTCGAGAGAGAAGAGGGACGAGGATAGAGACCGCTGGGATTTCAGAAACTAGAGGGAGCGGAGAGAAGAGCCAGACGAAAAAGCAGAAGCGGGACGGAGATAAAGAAAAATGTTACTGAGAGTCAGTTCGGCGAAACTGGGAATCAAGGAGGGTGCGAAAGGAGCAGGATGCACGAGCACATACCAGTGGAAGTGATTGCAGGCTTGACTCCCGCGTGCTTCGCTAGGGCGACGACGCACTCCTCACGGCTCAAATTGAGCAGCAGGCATCGCTCAATCAGGTGCTGCACCATCTGCACGTAGCTCCTAGTCGACTCTCGGGAATCGGCCGAAGACGGGGATCCTGCAGTGCCTGAAGAACGAGCTGGAGGACCCATAGTGTGCGTGTACAAGCTACTGAGTGCTAACGCGTCTGAATGATGCAGCCTCAGGAGCTATTGGAGTGGAAACGAGAGAATAGCCTGCTAAGCACTGGAAACGTAAAGCCTAAACAATTTGGAGGTCGAGACTTGAACCTCTAAATTGTATCTCGCAGGCAGGCCGTGTGGGTTTCGTATGGCGGCGGCTCCTTTCCTTATCGGGGGTTGCGTTGCGTGTTGCGCCAAATCTGGCAGCCCAATCGCCTGATGCTGCTGCTGCTGCTGTGGCTGTGTGGATGGGGTGAGTGGGAGGGAAGTGAGGTGAGTGGGTCTGTGGGAGAGGTGGGAGTGGATTGGGTGTGTCATCCCCTTGATCGGGGGGAGGTGAGGAAGGGGAAGTGGGGACGTGGCAGGGTGCGGGGTTGGGGTCAAGGTTTTCCCCCTACACGTCAACCTCCTCGGGGTTTCCGCCGTCGATTCCCCAATCCGCTATGTTGGCTAGACTGGCTCTCTGGCGGTCTTGTAATCGACCAGCGTGGCGGATTCCAGGGGGAGCCTGTTGGACGCGCTGTGAATCTGATTGGACTGCGGTGACACGCAGGTTACTGGCCTGAGGCACCACCCCAACCACAAATCTCCCGCCAATCTCCGCGGGCTCTTATTGGCTTATTAACGCTATGGCATCACTGGCTTGTGCGAAGGGAGGAAGACACCTGCCGCCACGGTGGCAACCAGCGTGGAAATATGATCGAATTGCGTAAGGGTGCAGTCTGTTGAAGGGAGGCGGTTGTTCATGGACAAATTCAAGGTAAGACACGTCAGGATACATCGCGGCACACATGTGCCGTTGATTTCTTTGCGAGGGAAACCCGCAGGAGGAAATCGTTGGCGGGGGATATCCATGGTGTTGAAGCGGGAACGTTGAGGAGTCGAAGAGACAGACGTGAGGCAAGCGATTTGGCGAAACTGGGGATTTCAAACAGCCTATCTAGTTCGAACACGTCGTCATCGTACTTGATCTCCCCAACCACAAGTGTATCTTGGTGCACCGAAATCTGCACATCTGATTTCTCCACAACTTCTTTCTGTTCTGCCCCCACTGGGTCTGGATAAAGACCCCAAAATACCACATGTGACGTGGAAGATAGTTGATGCCTGCAGCCTGCTAGAAAACAGAGTCTCGTCATTGTACAACACTGTACACATGCATTCTGTTACAGTACAGACGGAATATCTGAGATGTTGGCAATTTTTTTTCCAGCCTAAACGATGTGTCCTGGTTTGCTGGTTGGTGTGCAAGAACGAGCCCATCCAAATGCAACTGTACATAATGTACACGCCTGACAAGTGCCACAAGACGTGAACCCTTGCTGCCCAACCAGAAACAAATCCCCGCCCCGAGATGGGACCAGTGATGCATTCAATAGCGGTGGATGCAGGTGGATTATATCGAGGAATCAAATTATGAGACCAGCAAGCACTACGTAGGGTTGACGTCATCACGGATTGCCACGTGCGAGAACATCTGTCTCGTACGAGCAATGAGTGTTTCTTGTAACAAAGGCACAATGTGATGTAATTCAGGGAAATAAACAAGACTCAGCACGTAGCAGATGTCTTCCAGGACTGCTGCAGTTTACACATATAAAGCTCTACATTATAGAGAAAAAAGCCTAGTCCTTTTGCTAGTAACAAATAAATGCTGCTGTAGAGCTATAGTGCAGCCACACACGCACTACATATTGCTAATGTGGAACAAAATGTAAAATGAATCAGGCTTCCACCCAAAGCATGTTAGTGCTAGTACATTACCCTGATGTTGAGCTCACTTTCATAAGCATAACCAGCATCGCTTGGCCGCTCCACACGGCTACAACACCCTTGAGAAGCCCTGTCAAATCTGGCATGGAGATAAACTCCTCACCATCATTATTGCACGGGGATAGAAACCCGCGCAAAAATCCCCACCTGGGCATAGAAACCCCCACTGTTGGTGTCAGTCACTGCATGGGTCGTAGGCCGTGGCGCATGGCAGCGTCCCATGTGGGGTCGATTCGGCTCACATCAATGCGTCCCACCTCATGGTAGTCCCACCCCTCCAGCAGATGCACCAGCCCCCCTGCATGGCACGCGTAGATGTGCCCACGAGGCAGGGCCAGCTGAAGGTGGGTGGAGGGGGGGAAGGGGAAGATGGGGGAATTGAGAGACGAGGAAGCAATGAGAGTGGTCCTGAGACATGCCACAGTGGTCCCACCCCTCCAGCAAGCAGGCGCACAAGGCCTCTGCACGGCATGCATACATCTGCCCGCGACGCAAGCCCATAACAGCTCAGATGGTAGCACCAACCAGCTCACCTCACACACCTCAAGCTTTCACCTCACACATCAACTGGTAACCGCGCGGTCACACCAACCAGCTCACCTCACAGAACTTGAGATTCTCCACGTCGTCTGGTACCAGCTTGCCGTACGTGCAGTCTTTGCGGACCTCGGCGATGGGCGGCACGACAAACTGGTGGAAGTGCGTGCCGGGCGTCTGGTGACCGCATGCCTGCACCAACTACCGTCCTCCCCCCTCCCCCCCCCCCCCTTCCACCTACCCCCCTCAACTCAATTTGAGGTTCTCTACGTCCTATGAGAACCCAACCCCCCATGGCCACACTAACGAGGAGCTCACCTCACAGAACTTGAGGTTATCCACGTCGTCTGGTAACCGCATGGCCGCCAGCTTGCCGTACGTGCAGTCTTTGCGGACCTCGGCGATGGGCGGCACGACAAACTGGTGGAAGTGCGTGCCGTGCGGCGCGTGCCGTTGCTCCCACCACATCATGCCCTTGCCGATGATCCACACGGGGCATTGGCTGGCCTGGGCGTATTGCGTCACCTGCACCAGCAGGTGCTGTTTTTCTTCCGGTAGCTCTGAACGTATGGCTTCAAACCGCTCTCTTGAGGGGGTCAGCATCTGACAGGATTTGATGGGGGGGAGAGCAAGTGGGGGACAGAGAGAAAGAGAGATAAGGAGGTACAGAGGCGATTCTTGAGTCAACTTGAAGACCAGCAGGTGCTGCTTCTCCTCTGGTAGCTCTGATCTTATGGCTTCAAAGCGCTCTCTTGAGGGGGTCAGCATCTGACAGGGTTGAGAGAGTCCGAGAGGACGAAGTGGAGGGATGTTGATGAAAAGGAGAGGAAAGAGTGAGGCGAGTGAGGCGGGTAGACTTCACAAGCACAGCACAGCACAGCGCACCTCAGAACACCTCAACATACCTCAGAAAACCTCAGCACAGCACAGTACCGCACTCTCTAGCACCCCACTCACCAGCACTCGCACGCCTCTCAGCGCCAGGTAAAGTGAAATCGACCGCCCGAGCTTCGTAGTTGACCTAGTAAAAAAACACCTCCCTCGCATCCGCTCTAATCTCCCTCAGAATGAATGATGGCTGCAGTGAGCGTGTTCCCATGCACCTCCTCCCCCACCACCAGTAGCACTCCCCAGGCCCCCACTCACCAGCACGTGCACGCCTCGTAGTGCCAGGTACAGCGAGATCGCCCGCCCGAGCTTGGAAGTTGACCCGGTCAGAAACACCTCCCCCACGTCCTGCCGAATCTCCCTCAGAATGATCGCCGCAGTGAGCGTGTTCCCATGCACCACCCGAACCTTGAGGTTCGGATGCCGGTCCAGAAACAGCTTGCCCCCGCCGTTGAGGCTCTCGTTCTTGTTGAGAGCGCCCAGAGCTAGGACTTTCACTCCTTGCTTGTCTGCTGCTAGAATGGCCGACTCTATCAGGCGGTTGATGGAGTTCCGCTCAAAGGGCATGAAATACTGAGGGGGATGGGGTGGGGTGGGGTGGGGTTTGGGGAGGTAGGAGGGCATGGGTGCTTGAGACTCTATCAGGCGGTTGATGGAGTTCCGCTCAAAGGGCATGAAATACTGAGGGGGATGGGGAGGGGTGGGGTGGGGTGGGGTGGGGTTTGGGGAGGTAGGAGGGCATGGGTGCTTGATATTCTATCAGGCTATTGATGGAGTCCGGTTCAAAGGGCATCAAGTACACATGGAACAGGAGAAACGCACGGCTCAGGAGGGAAAGCGCTGGCGGTGAGCTGGCAGTGAGCTGGCAGTGAGCTGGCGCAAAATTTGAGCGACAGGTCGGCACACGACCCACGCCCTGCCTGTCCGCTTCTGGTCCGTGCTGAACCAGGGGCATATGAACCACAGCACCAGGTACAGCGGCAGGCACACTCACTCACTCGCTCGCACACACCACTCCCACCCACCCACCCTATTACCGCCCTGCTCCCGCCCTCTACCGGCCTCCATAGCGGCCAGAGCAACCACTCACGTTGATGCCGAAGCGGGGAATGGTCCAGATTTGCAGTGTGCGCCCCCGCAGGCGCTTCTGGTCCGTGCTGAACCACGGGCATATGAACCACAGCACCAGGTACAGCGGCAGGCACAGCCACCCACTCCCACACACCACAGCACCCTGCTACCGCCCTGCTCCCACCCTCCTACCCGCGTCCACAGCACCAGGTACAGCGGCAGGCACACTCACTCACTCACTCCCACACACGACTCACGTTGATGCCGAAGCGGGGAATGGTCCAGATCTGCAGCGTGCGTCCCCTCAGCCGCTTCTGGTCCGTGCTGAACCAGGGGCATATGAACCACAGCACCAGGTACAGCGGCAGGCACAGCACGAGCAGCGCGAACGTGGTCCAGGTCGGTTTGAATGGGTGCGTGGAGCCGTAGGGCATGAGGAAGGGCAGGTGGAAGAAGGACTGCAGGTTCACCCCGTGTGCTAGGAACACAAAGTCGGGGTGCGTTATTTCGCCTGGAATGGGGGGAAAGGGAGCAGAGCGAGGGGGGAAGGGGAAGGGAGGGTGTGAGTATGGGCATGAGGAAGGGCAGGTGGAAGAAGCTCTGCAGGTTCACCCCGTGTGCTAGGAACACGAAGTCTGGGTGCGTTATTTCGCCTGGTATGGGGGCAAAAGTGAGCACGGCGTGGGGGGAGGGGGAGGGGA